GCCCAGGAGGGTGCAATTTTTGTTAATACACAATGTTAGCACTTGGCATCCGTTAATTGTGTCCTGTATAGCGGGTAAGGAGTGCTACTATATTCGGCGTTAAAACTTCAATAGGCGCAACCGCCGGCGCCCATAGCTTGCACGATTCGAAGCACCAAGGGTTCCCCTGCAAGCACCATGGCGCCTCTGCGGTAGTGAAATTGGGGGCTCTCGAGAGCGCCCCTCTACGTTCCTGACACATAGGTGTCGCCGAAGTGTGTTCTACCTCATTATTTCGTTGAGTAATTAACGTACACGCAAGGTTTTCATGCGGTAGTGTAGGTGAACCCGTGTCCCGATATTTATGATCCAAACGCAGGCATTGTTTACATTCAAATAACTCAGATCTAGAAAACAAGGTCACGCGTCTAAGAACATTGGATTGTTAGCGCATTCATGAAACCCTTCCTATAAAGTCAATCACTATTCTTTAATATACTTTGTTGTTACCGTTACTGTTACCGTATAGATGCAGAATAAACTTTTGTATATATATTCGATATTTGAATAATTTCTTCATGAGTTGCATTGAATTTCAAAGCTGCTCAAAGCATAGCCTGTATTAAAACGTCAAGAATAAAATGCGGACTTACCACCAGTGAAATTAAACCTTATGAAGCAAGCTTGATCACAAGTCTCATCTCTCATTGATGACACATTGTGTATACCCTCCTTAAGACAGAATTCTTTAAGATTATAAGGCTCTACATTTGACGGAAAACAAGACTCAACGTCCATATTGTTCTTGCAGAACTGCGTCTTGTTGTAGCATTGGCCATGTTCGCCGCATCGGAGGGGTTTTAAATGAGGACATTCATAATTGTCTCCTACTTTTGCTGAAAGAAAATTAGTTTTTACTTTCTAAACTTTTCTAGTAAAGGGCGCAAAGCGACAACAAAAGAGATAACATTTACTTTATATGCATCATGGATCAAAATGCAAAAAGAAATCTTTGCAAAAGAAAAATGTCTGATCAAAATCGAGTTTGTATGGAATATTCCTGTTGCTATATTGATTTATATCATAGTGCAATAGCCATGAACTCCACAAAAATACGACACATTTAATTTCCTATAGCAATTATTACGGATCGTACTTTACGTAAACTCAAGGCTTTCATTCAACCCGCCTTAGGGCGTCTATAAGGTAGGATGGTCGAACCCGCGCCCCAACAATTATGATCCAAGAAATATAGCGCTTGTTTTAATTTAATTAGCAAAACTAGGTACCGTGTCTAAAACCTGACTGGTATCGCATTGATGCAGACACACACACACACACACACACACACACACACACACATATATATATATATATATATATATATATATATATATATATATATATATATATATATATATATATATGTCTTCTTGAAGAACTGAAGCCAACAGGGATGTCTTGGGAGATGACAAAATTAATAGCCGGGGATAGGAAGGAATGGAAGGAAATGGTGGAGGCCCTATGCTCCATAAGGAGCAAAGAGGACTGAGTCAAAAGTAAGTCATATATATATACATATATATATATATACATATATATATATATGTATATATATATATATATATATATATATATATATATATATATATATATATATATATATATATATATATATATATATATACAGAGAGAGCGTGAGAGACAAGAGTGGTCACAAGTTGGGCAGAGCAATATTTTGTAATTTTGGACCAGAATATCAATGGACCCGCAAAAAACACCAATGCTACAAGCAAAACTTTATTAATAGCTTCCCTCTAGAGTTTCTTCCAGGCATCTCTTCAGAAGGGGCTCCCCCCCCCCCTCCCCCCCAAAAAAACCTACTTCTACCCCCCCCCCCCCCAACGAAATGAAATTTATATAATTTATATATAAAATATATACTTTTAACAGTGTCCGCCCCCACCCCGTAGAAAGTCTACCCCCCCCCCCCCCCCCCCCGGAGAAAAAAGTCTGGAGGAAACACTTCTTCCTTCCCGCGCCAGCTATTCGTCAGTTATAGCTGTAGAGAGCAGTGACTAAAACAGCATTTACTTTATTCACAGTATTTTGGAGTCAACAATTCTTTGATCCTGACTATTTTATTATTAGGTTAACTAGGTTAATTATATATTATTTTAAATTGATATTAATGTAAGCCCTGACATGGGGGGGGGGGGGGGTCTAATCTAATCACTAGGCTTATATTAAACTTTTAGGTCAGCGCAAGTCTAGTTGAACCCAGACTGCTAAAATCCTAAAATAGTCTTAACTAAAAAAAAATAATTTTAATTACAATGAAGATATTTTGTTTTAAATTATGCCTTAAACTAACTAATTATCCTATTATATTTTTTGTTTAGTTTTTTTGAGATTATACCGTCTCCTCTTCCATGACCTTCCCACTTCTCCTTTTTCCTGTCTCACTATATATTAATCAAATGAAAACTAAAAACATAAACTACACGCTATTCCTATCCTATTAACTAAATATAATTTAAACTGTTACTTAAACTTACAAAATAACTTACGGTGTACTTTTGGACAGTATTTAACTATTTTACTTTTCCAGCTAAGTGTATTTATTCCAAAGCAACTGAAATCTAAAAATTTAAAAAATCAGGTTGATAAAATTTAAAAAATGAAAACAAAATAGTTTTTTTGGTATAATTGTAACTTCAGTAAGTTATAAGAAATGTGTAACAAAAGTTTTAAAATCATCTGTAACTTTGGTTGAAATATATTTAATCTAAAGTCACGACTTATGCGTGCAAATCACGAACCAATCTGTAGTGTCAAAAGATAGAGGTAGCTAAGGAAATGAAAAGATACAAACTAGACATACTAGCACTACAAGAAACACCACTGACAAGACAAAGAAAAAGCCAAGTGCATGTATATGACAGGAGAGGAGAAATCGTTTTCTTGGAGAAGAAAAATATCACCAAGCATGGTTAGCTGTGATGTTAAACAAAAAACATCTTCCGATGTATTGCTGGCCTGGAAACCAATTAGTAAAGAATATTGTATGTCAGGCTAGGATTAAAATACTCAAAACTATCATTAGTAATACAATATGCCCCAACTGAAAATGCTAAAAAAAAGAAATAAAACAAAATGTATATTACAGTTTACAAAGGGTATGACACACAATGTGTTACCATGATATCCTAGTGGACGTCGATGACTTTAACACCAAAGTTGAAAATAACAGAGAACACAGAAAAGCAGTTAAAGGGTAAGAAGGCTTAGGGATTATAAAATCAAATGGAGAAATATCCATTAGTCTTTGTCAAGAGAAAATGTAACAACTGGGGGCATGTCGTTTCAACACAAGCGAATTCTTAAAAACACATGGAAATCGCCAGATAGGAAAGCAGAATACCTAATAGACCTCGTACTTATCAACAATCAACGGAGAAGATCTCTTCAAGATGTGATCGTGAAGAAAGAAGCTGATATTGAAGTCGTCACTACTTAGTAGTAGCAAAATTGAAACTCAAATTAAAAAGTATTATTGTTGCGTAAAAAAGGAACAGAATCTTTGACAAACAAAAACTAGAGAACATCCAAGTCAAAAAAGCATTCACATTCGACCTAAACAAAATACAGCATTCTAAAAGAAGACACAGAATGAACAGAGAAAATGGGGAGGGTGTAATACGCGAATAATAAAAAGACGAGAGGTGAAGGAACATTTTACATAACTACTAAACAGACCACAACCAGCACAAGACATTGATAAACTCCTAGCTAAAGAAACTGGACATCAATACTGAACCCATACAAATATCAGAAGTGCAGGCAGCTGTAGAAAAAAACCGAAATCAGGAAAAGCACCATGAACAAATTGTATACGTGAAGAAAAGCTTAAAGTAGAAACCACAGACACGCCGAAAATCAGCTGTGACGTTTTGCAAGAAATCTGGAACAATGGAAAAACACCATATGAATGGAAATCTGGTCTTATAGTGAAACTGCCAAAAAAAAGGGAAATCAAAAACTGTGAACATGGCGAGGCATCACACTCGTACCGCTCACCAGTAAAATATATTGCAGGATCATTCTAAACAGGATTTCCAGAGCTGCAGATGAAAAAATGCGGAAAGAACAAGCTGGGTTTAGAAAAGGCAAATCATGCAGTGATCCCACATTTATCTTGTGACAAATACCTGAACAAAACTATAAATGCATTATTCATTAAATTTTTTTTAAAAAGGCTTTTGGTAGCCTACCCAGAAAGAACATCTGGAAAATTTTATTATGCCATAGTTTTCCAGAATAATCGTAAATGCCATCAAAATCATATATGAAGTGTTCCAATGTAAAGTTGTCTGTGTTAAACATATCACTAACCTATATATGGCTCAGACAAGAGCCAAGCGAGGATGTGTTCTGTCTCCACTGCTTTTTAGCTTATGAATTGATTGGCTGATGACACAAACTATAAAAAGCGAGAGGCTTCATATAGACACTAACAACTAGCCGAAAGGACCTGGATTTTGCTGGCGACATAACTTTACTAGCTAGTAGTCAAAAAAAAAAAAAGAAAAACTTAATAGTCGTATTTATACAAATGGAGTTTGACTCAAAGTAAGCATTCGAAAAGAAGATAGCGATTGATGAAGCACGAGCTACTAATGAATCCTGATGATATAATAGGGATGGCTCTAAACCGGACACCTCAAGGAAAAAGAAAATACACAAAGCTAAGGGAGATGTAGTGGCGCACAGCGTAGAAGCAGCTGACAGAGGTAGGACTGTCATGGGGGGACTGCCAAGAAAATAGCCTGTGACAGACACAAAGGGAATGAGCTTTCTGTGGCGGCCCCACGTGTCTTGATTGCAATTATGAAAAGATATGTAGGCCTATATGCTGAAAATCTATGTCTACGTGAATTTACTTGAGAGTTTAAAAGTGCATATATATGTGCATTTGTTTGCGGATGTTCTTTAAATTATTACAACTGAAAACAAAATCTTTAATCTTTTAGCTTACCCATGCTCTCCTCGCTTGTAGTTTTGATTTTGGCTATGTTTTCTTTATGTGCAATGACCGTGGTACCTTGTGTCAACTTAATAGTTACCAGCTTATTACAATCGTCGTCCTTAAAACATTTACAGTTTAATTCTTCACCTTCGCGGACTACTTCAGGGCAGTTATATTTAACTTTAGGTGGACCTTAATTTACAAATAAAAAAAAATCATTTCATTAGTAACATTGAAGCTAAATTAATATAAAACATTGATATAAAGCATGCTCTAAATATATACATCAAACAGTTTTTTTAACCGGGTGTAGCCTATTTTATTACTTCATTTAACTATACATAAATAATAACAGTAAATTAGATTTTAAAAATGAATTATGACTTTAAGAGATTCACATGTGTTATCATCAGTGTATTTCACACTCTTTTTGTATGGGTATCGGATATTTTATAGTGAACATAGAATTGCCATGTATAATGGGAAAAAAATCTATATTAAAAGACGGTACAATTATGTGTTAAATCTTCTTTTCATCTAAACATCTTTTTAATAAATAATTTAACCTCCTACCTATGCAGTACGATACAGAAACGTGTGGTCCATAATGTACTACCTCTTCTGGACTATTGTGAAAAATGTTTACGTCAAAGTGAAATCTATTTTCCATATTTTCAGTAACCCGAAGTCTGATTGAACAGTTGAAAGAAATGTACTCATTGTGATGTACAGGAGCAGTGTGGTAGGTAACATGTGTATAGTGTTTCTGCAAAGTTGAATTTAATGTCATTAGAGCAGTACACATGATAGCCACTTACATTAAATAAAGATACATATCTAAAATATGATGTTTATAATACACACACACACACATATATATATATATATATATATATATATATATATATATATATATATATATATATATATATATATATACATAAACAATGTATGTTTGTGTGTTTGTATTTATATGACTGTTATGGCGGTGTAACAACATGAATTCTTTGTTGTTGTGGGTTAGTTTTCACACAGGAATACAAGCAATAGTGGCAACTTCAAATGATGACTTTATTTACACTATATACAGTGAGAATGATAAATCCATAGTTATTCATGGTAAATCCATATTAGAAGATACTCAACAAGTACAGTCACAGTCACGACTCCAAGTCATGGAGACATCTTACATTCACTGCCACAGTTCAAGTCCCAAGTCCTAGCACACAACACCCGTTCACCTTTTGCTCTCCCTTTCATACGGTCCATTCTCTCCCCTTACGTACATGAGCGATCTCACCCAAAAGCATGGGAAATACATATGACGATCGCTCAGACAGTCCTTCCGAAGTGCCGAAGTAAAAGTTATATTACTATTGATTAGATAATACTATTGACTTTTATTAGGGAGCTTGTAGAGAGTCAACAGTATTAGAAACTGTAAGAAAATCACGGCGCCCCACGTTTTTGATCGCTTATAGTAGAGTGATCGCTTGCATTATTGTGATGTATAGCATTTATTTTCTACTATTTAGTTCAATCAGAAAACGTGGGTTTTTAAAAACTTTTTTAATGATTATTATTTTCTACTTTTTAGTCTTTGTCTGTTTGTTTGCATTAAAATCTTGCTATCGATTTTATCTTTTCACTTTTTTTTGGGTAAACGAAGACAACTCGTAAAAAGACAACTCGTAAAAAGACAACTCGTAAAAAACACGTTGTGTGAATACGTTACTGACTAGAACACATAGATTTGAACCCGTGTCGAGTGGGATAGCAATCGTGTGCCCAACCACTCGACCATATCGTCTCCCCAAAACAGGCCACCAGTGGTAATAGTTACCTCCTGTAAGTTTAAAGTCGGTTAAAACTAAATTATCTGCCCCTAAGCCTCTCGCGACGTGGGATCGTTCGCTTCACTGCGCGCGGCAAGAGAGAGGCTAGCTACGCGTCGCTGGTTTTTTTTCTAATGGCTCGCAGAGGAGAATTATATATATAGATTATATAGCGGTCTAAAATGCTCAATAAAATGTTTCCATTGATCAATTTAGTAATAATAACAATTGAATATTCTATGGTCATCCAAAAGAAAGCTTCCCTGAAAATTTCAGCGCGCTAGCTAACTGGGAAGTGCCAGAAATTTCGATCGCAAGATTGGATTGGAAAAACAGACAGAGAAAGCAAGTTAAAGAAAACGTGGTAAAATAGAGGCCAATCGTGAACCTTAAATGATCTCCTAATTCTGGAATAAAAAGGAATTAAGTTATTTATTTCTTATTTAATTTACTGATCAGTGTAGACAGAAAAAAATACATTTTTTTCAACTATTATTTTTTACATGTTTAAAAAAAAATTAATAATAAAAAAATCATTAAATAACCTGGCTTTTCACTTAATTATATTTTAACGTATTGAATCAGTTTGGGCCATTATTATTGTGTCTGTTTTGTTGACCTATTAGATATATAAATTTGGTTTTTAAATTTTACGTTGATATGGGATGTTATGTTTAGTATATAGGATTTACAGAAAGCCAATTTCTTCTACTAAAAGCTTCACAAAAGTTGACTTCCGTAGTACACCTCCCTCCCGGTCCCGAGTCGACTGCTAAACGAGTACAGAGTAATAACATATATACGTAAATAAATGCACTGGTACTCAAACACTCTTAAAAGTTTAAACTATTGACTTTCATTTGCAAATAATGTGCATTACTAAAGTAATTGACATTTTTTATTTATTCGCGAACCAATTAAACGAAGCAAATCTGTGGTTGTTTATGTGTTTGTGTGTATGTATGTGTAAAATTGCTATTTTAATTTTCTTATATAGAAAGCATTATTTCGTTTTAAATAATAAAATCTATTTAAGTCAAAGCTCATGTCAAATTGCCTTGTCAACGGATCTTAAACGACGTGGAAAATAGTTAAATGTTGATCGCAAGTATCCCACATTAACGACATGACGTGAATTAAAGTAATAAATTTAAAAACTTGACGGTACATGTAACGAAATCGATACAAACCTTTTTAATTGTCTCAACAAATCTACATCTGGTACCAGGAAGGGCCAAAGGAACAAAACAGATCAGCGATATATCTGCATCAGTAGTAAATCTGCAGTTCTCGCTACCTATTTTCTCTGTCAAATTAATTATCAAAATATGTACAGCCAAAATAAAGATTCTATCTTACTGGTGTATTATATAAGTTAAATTTATAACATTTCTGAATAACTGATGACATAATGAAAAACTAATTGATACAAAAGCTCTTAAGAATCGTAAATAATGCAGAATAACTCTTAGAGGTAAACAAGACTAACTTCTACATAACGTGTTATTAACAATATCGTTAAAGAAACGTTAAACGAAACCAGGATCTTAATTGTTAATTCTGTAAGTTTTATTTCCTCTCTAATCCCTTTAGTGCACTACTTAAATGGAATGAAACGAAACATTCGTACCAAATTAAAAAAAAACATAAAGAGCAAAGGAATAAACAAACGTGAAATATAATTATTGTATATCTATATACTACTAAAATCGAAAATATTGTAGATTTATTCTTCTGTTCCGTTAGATGAGACAATGCGCACTTTACATAGAACTGTAAAATACGTATTTATGTAGAGGAAAATATTATTTTTACACAAATTATATACACAATCCATAGACAATAAATAATTAATTAATATTATCTTTTGCAGAAACACCATATTTCTTATGAAAGTTCAGAGCAAATACATTTTTTTCACAAAAATAAAATCTATTGTAACGTCACTTGAAACTTATAGCATTTTATCAAACAGAAAAGAAACCTATACAGATAAACCAGAGTTAAGGCCAAACCGAAATTAATAAGTTAAAAAGAAAAACAAGTATAAAAAATACTTCAGTTTCTTTATAAAACTATTTCAGTCCTTAAAATTTGATAAAAATCTTTGTTTATTACCTTCACATGCCATCTAAATAGAGATTACAAAAATGTATCTAGAGCTAAAAATTTTAGAAACTATCTAGAGATTCTAAACCTAGAATCGGGATTAATCTAAATAAACCGAGAGTGATCTCCCCTAAACGTTCTCGAATATTCTTATATAAAAGAAGAGTGGATGAGAACTCGGGCTATAGACATGATTTTTAATCCATTTTAAATACTTAAAGTTTTAAAAATAGAATAAAATGTCGTAGACAAAAGATTGCACACCAAGTGAACGCAAAATAAACAAGTTAATTAAAAAAGTCTAGTGACATTTGTGCGCAATTTCCTTATGTTGTCTAAAAATAGCTCTGACGTATAATGTTGGGGTGCGTTCAAGCTAGAAGAACAATCGGTTTGTAGGTGTTTATGTAATTTTAAAATTTGTGACCGAACGAGAGAATATAATTGCTTTTGGAACTAGTCATCGATATTGCTTCGTTGAGGAGGAGATACGACTTAAAGCTGCGGACACGCATTCATCCATCCATCCATCCATCCATCCAGAAATGACGGGTTAATAAACGCAATTCTCCAGAATGGAAATTGCGCTAAAAAAGTGCATAATAGTGCGCAATATTATTAGTACTTTAAAAATTTACATTAGTTTTTTCAGAAATCGGAAGTAGCGTAAATTAGTACTTCTGAGCAACGGAAATTACTCAAAATTTGACAAAAGGTAGAGAATTAGATCTTATACTTACATGTGAAATTTCATTTATCTATCTGAAATAGTACTTAAGTTATAGGCTTTTGAAAAATTCAAAGTAGAAAAAGTACCACTTCCGGTTATCGGAAATCGCTCAAAAGTTGATACGGATCTACGATTTTGATACAATTCTTATATATGAAATTTCATCAACCTAGCTGTAACGGTACTCAAGTTATCGTGTTTACACACGGACAGACAGACAGACACACACACAGACACACAGACATACGGACAGAATTGCAAAGCCCAGTTTTTCAGACTGGATTACGCATAAAACCTCTTAATTTTGATAAATCTGGATTGATAATTTTTGCCCGATTAAAATAAGTCCTCTATACTTCGGATGTGATGAAGGACTGAGGTGTAATACGGTGAAAATTGTTAAAATTTCAAGTGATTTTTGTGCACGATTACAATACTTTCTCTATACTTCATATATACGAGAAAGTAAAAAGAAAGACTCAATGAATAATTGTATTTCTATACAAATCTTTTTCAAGTCATAAATAAATTATTTGAAATTAATCTTTGTTTTTAGTATTTGTAACTGTGTTTAACTTGTGAGGTAACTAACACTATCTGTTTTATTACTACATTTTTCTTCTTTCTTGTATAGGCCTACAGAGTGTACAAAAAAAAACTGGAAATGTCGACAGTTTTCACCGTTTTACACCTCAGTACTTCATCATACACGGAATATAGGGGATTTAGTTTAATCGGACAAAATTCTAAATCCAGATTTTTCAAAATTTTGGCGTTTTACGCGTAATTAATTCGGAAAAACTGGGCTTTACAGTTCTGTTCGTATCTCTACCACAGGTTCGAAACACATCAGGTCATTTTTTTTTTTATATACCTCTAATAGAAATAGCACAGAACGAAGTCACAACACGCGCCATTGTTTCTATTTCATCATTATTAATTTCAAGTTTATCTAATTTATTCGTTTATTATTCAAATTAGCTTCGAGAACAGAAAATATTATAGAAAAAAATCGATGTTTTAAAAAGACAAAAATACCTAAGCTGATTCATTTACGGATGAACCCCGTAACAAACAGTTATCCAAGGATAACAGGTGGTCTAGTTCATATTAAAAATTGTTGATTGAGTACTTTAGTCTATGTACACACATTCTATATACTTACTGTATGTTTGCACAGTAAATGGAAATCGTATTGAACCTGATTCAAAATCTGCCTCCAAGATCCATTGACCACTAATATTTTTAGATAAAACTAAAAATTGTAACTTATTAAACATTGTGCCATCTACAAGCTTGTAAGCTGCTATAATCCAGTCAATGTAGCCATTGTATGTTGTACAATGTCCTTGTGTAGTGCAGCTGCTCACAGGTTCATTAAACCTATACCAGGTAAAAGTAATATTTTCTTTGGGGAATAGCGGCCATCTGTGCACAATTTTACATGGACCCCCATCAAGACAAAGTACTTGATTTTTTAATTGAAAGCCTAAAATAACGAAAAGAGTACATTGAACTTTTTTTTTAAATAGACAAAATATTGTATGTTTACAGAAATGGACTACGATAATGTTACAGACTCGAAATTAGTTCTATGTAAAAACATGTTTTATTATGGTGTGCTCTGCTGTGCTGTGCTGTGCTATGCTCCACTCTGCTATGCTCTACTCGCCTCGACTAGACTCCACTCTAGTATAAAATACTGTACTGTACTTCACTTTGATTGTGTTAATATAATCTTATTTACGACAAGTAGGCCTAGAGTTCGTTTTTGAAAACAAGAAAAAAGATTCACGCTCTAGATACCCCTTTTGTATGTGTACTGTTCCGGTACGTGTGTTTACTGAAGTATAGTGTATGATGTATTGTGAATTATTAAACGTGTATCATATAAGCGTGTATTTTAATGTCCATGCCCATGACCATGCCTTTGCTTATGCACACGCACGCGTATGTATATAGGAAAAGGTATATGAGTGTGCGTGTATAAGAATATCTAATATATATAGCTCAAACGGTGCTCTGTCAAAACGGCCCGGGAAAATCGACCCCGTCAAAAAGGCTCTGTTAATATGTCTGCGTCAAACCGACCCCCGACAAAACGACCCAGTCAAAATAGCCTCGTTCAAAAGGGCCTCGACGTATTGGCTCCCGTCAAATGGGCCTCCGTCATATTGACTCGAGACATAGACTCTCGTCAAAAGGGCTCCAGACATTCAGAATCCCGACAAATGGACTCCCGACATATTGGCTCCCGACACAATGACTCCCTACATACCTCCACTAGCACTGTAACCTCTCTTGAATGCCTGAATGAAATTGTTTTTCGTGAACCAACAGGAATTCACAAACAAATCGAGCCCTTAAAAGCTAAATTCCAACAACTCTAAAATTTTGATAATATTTAATTTACAAGAGTAAAGATATGTTGCTTAAAAGCGAACTCAGAAGTGTAAATGTATTATATACATGATTTTTACAGGAAAACTGCATTTTTTTATAACCTTCAAGCATACTGCATGTAGGAATGTATAGTGTGGATCCCTCTCCCCACACACTTAGTTGGAAAAACCTATAACCGACTCATTTATTAAAGTCATAAATAGATTACCCTTATATTTAAAACATACTGATTATATTACTAGAAAAAACAATATAAAGATAAGGCCTGCCGAACAAGAGAATATTGATGAAGGGTAGCCACTGGCAGGTGTCACAATCAATACGGAAACGTATTTTCAAGGGTTCTTTTGTCGGGAGCCAAATTGACAGGAGCCTTTTGTCGTAATGACGAGGCTGTTATGTCGGGAGCATATATGACGGGAGCCTATTTGTCGGGAGGCGTAATGACGGAAGCCGTTTTGTCGAGAAACTAAATGACGGAAGCCTATTGTCAGGAACCTTATTATTTGGAGTACTTATGTCGGGAGCCTATATGACACGAGCCTATTTGTCGAGAGCCAAAATGACGGGGTCTCTAGTTCTTTTGAAAGTCCTTTTGTATCTGTATCTGTATCTGTATCTGTATCTGTATCTGTATCTGTATCTGTATCTGTATCTGTATCTGTATCTGTATCTGTATCTGTATCTGTATCTGTATCTGTATCTGTATCTGTATCTGTATCTGTATCTGTATCTGTATCTGTATCTGTATCTGTATCTGTATCTGTATCTGTATCTGTATCTGTATCTGTATCTGTATCTGTATCTGTATCTGTATCTGTATCTGTATCTGTATCTGTATCTGTATCTGTATCTGTATCTGTATCTGTATCTGTATCTGTATCTGTATCTGTATCTGTATCTGTATCTGTATCTGTATCTGTATCTGTATCTGTATCTGTATCTGTATCTGTATCTGTATCTGTATCTGTATCTGTATCTGTATCTGTATCTGTATCTGTATCTGTATCTGTATCTGTATCTGTATCTGTATCTGTATCTGTATCTGTATCTGTATCTGTATCTGTATCTGTATCTGTATCTGTATCTGTATCTGTATCTGTATCTGTATCTCTGTATCTCTGTATCTCTGTATCTCTGTATCTCTGTATCTCTGTATCTCTGTATCTCTGTATCTCTGTATCTCTGTATCTCTGTATCTCTGTATCTCTGTATCTCTGTATCTCTGTATCTCTGTATCTCTGTATCTCTGTATCTCTGTATCTCTGTATCTCTGTATCTCTGTATCTCTGTATCTCTGTATCTCTGTATCTCTGTATCTCTGTATCTCTGTATCTCTGTATCTCTGTATCTCTGTATCTCTGTATCTCTGTATCTCTGTATCTCTGTATCTCTGTATCTCTGTATCTCTGTATCTCTGTATCTCTGTATCTCTGTATCTCTGTATCTCTGTATCTCTGTATCTCTGTATCTCTGTATCTCTGTATCTCTGTATCTCTGTATCTCTGTATCTCTGTATCTCTGTATCTCTGTATCTCTGTATCTCTGTATCTCTGTATCTCTGTATCTCTGTATCTCTGTATCTCTGTATCTCTGTATCTCTGTATCTCTGTATCTCTGTATCTCTGTATCACTGTATCTCTGTATCTCTGTATCTGTATCTGTGTCTGTGTCTGTGTCTGTGTGTCTGTGTGTCTGTGTGTCTGTGTGTCTGTGTGTCTGTGTGTCTGTGTGTCTGTGTGTCTGTGTGTCTGTGTGTCTGTGTGTCTGTGTGTCTGTTTCTGTGTCTGTGTCTGTGTCTGTGTCTGTGTCTGTGTCTGTGTCTGTGTCTTTGTATGTTTATGTGTATGTGTATGTGTATGTGTATGTGTATGTGTATGTGTATGTGTATGTGTATGTGTATGTGTATGTGTATGTGTATGTGTATGTGTATGTGTATGTGTATGTGTATGTGTATGTGTATGTGTATGTGTATGTGTATGTGTATGTGTATGTGTATGTGTATGTGTATGTGTATGTGTATGTGTATGTGTATGTGTATGTGTATGTGTATGTGTATGTGTATGTGTATGTGTATGTGTATGTGTATGTGTATGTGTATGTGTATGTGTATGTGTATGTGTATGTGTATGTGTATGTGTATGTGTATGTGTATGTGTATGTGTATGTGTATGTGTATGTGTATGTGTATGTGTATGTGTATGTGTATGTGTATGTGTATGTGTATGTGTATGTGTATGTTTTTAAATATGTGTATGGATACGTTTATGTATATATATATATAATTACATGTATAATTATGTGTATGTCTATGTGTATGTGTATACCTATTTGTGTATATAAGTCTATAGATTAACATTTATATATATTTCAACATATGAAAACTTGCAATACAAATTAAAGACGTTGGCTTACCTTTAGCATGTTTTATATATAGTAATGCAGTAAATATAAACATCCAACTTCCATTGATACTTTTCATTCTATTTAATTTGGGTGGTGAAAGAAATTTAAAATAGGTTTTTACACACATGTCAGTCTATTACTATATTTTCAGCTGCACATTACACAGCGGAATGTCATTGAATAGAACCTGACCCGATTCTGAACAATCAGTGCCGCACACACTGGAAACATAAATTTGGGTATTCCTTTAGCCATATATATATATATATATATATATATATATATATATATATATATATATATATATATATATATATATATATATATATACATTTATGATTGTATAACTGCGTTAACACGGCTATGCTTGTCATGTCTATATGATGTTTTTTTTTTAGATGCGTTATGAATACACAGACCATTTTTATCCGCCATTTTGAATAACTTTACTATAGGCAGATTCAGTTAGAAACATCTAGTGTAGATGTCTCATTGCTTTTATTGTACGTTTACCAAATTAAATCAAGGATAAAATGTATCATTAAAGTTCGTTAAAATGACAGAACAATTAAAGTTATTAATCTGCTTATGCATAACTTGGAAAGGTAGGACTTCAATCTTAAATTCGATTCAAAGCCTTAATTACCAACATGTACATGTACTTACACATGTATAGCTACAGCTTCATTTACATCTACTTCTGCATTTACAAACATACCTATATGTATATATATATATATATATATATATATATATATATATATATATATATATATGTTTATTTATTTATATATATATCTATATTTTATATATTATATATATATATATATATATATATATATATATATATATATATATATATATATATATATATATATATATATTATATTATATACATATATTTATATATAGCAATGTATGTGTGTGTTTGTGTATCTGTCTGTCTATCTGTGTGTCTGTCTTTTATGCATGACTACACCTTTCATCCAGTTACCGTGAAACTTTGGGCAGTTTTTGATAATATTCTTTGGGGAGGTTGCAGATTTTTTTTCTCTATATACGGTATATACAAATAAAAGTCGATTGCGGTTTGACACCGTTCTTCCGATCCCCATCAAACTTTGGGACGATGATTAAAACACTCCAGGTGAGGTTTCTGTAGAAAAATTTTTTTTTTTATTTCGCAAGCGCGTCGAACGGGAGGGGTCGATTCTTCTCTATATACGAAATATTTAAAAACATGAAAGTCATATGCGGTTCGACAACGTTTATCCGAATGTCATTAAACTTTAGAGAGTTGATGAATACTCCCGAGAAGGTTGCTGGGGGGGGGGGGGGGGATGCAATTTGGCGCTCTGGTCTTTGCCGTTCGGTCTCAACAGTGTGATATATAATAGATAAGATGGGTTGTTACAGTCGCTCGCTAAATTTAATCATGGAGCCCGCCGGCGTCCTGGTATGGTGCAATTTGGATGCAAACAAAAATTACAGTTTCGCCCCCCAAAGGCTGACATTGACCACTGAGGAAGCTGTAATACTTTTTATTTTAATAATCATAAAAATTTACCAAGGTTAGATTGTTAACCGGGATGTTTCTTTTTGTACGTAAAAATCCAAACAGTTTCGTCACTTTGCGAATGATGCAATTAGCATCTATTTTTAGACGATCCAATCAGAAATTCAGACTCAGCATCTAATAATAGACCATTAGTAACGCTAACATATTACATCCTTCACACTGATCTTTAAATATCGTCAAATAATCAGTGGCGGAACTAGAAAAATTGGGCCACCCCGCAAAAAAAAAATGTTGGGCCCCATATATATATATATATATATATATATATATATATATATATATATATATATATATATATATATATATATATATATATATATATATATATATATATATTCATATGTATATGTATATATATATATATATATACATACCAAAATACGAACATAGAATTCGGGCTTGTTCGAAGTTTGAAGAATTAAAAATTCTTCGTTTTTATTTTAATTAAAACACAATACAGCAACAACACATCATGAGTAAGTGCTATTAATCTGTTTTGAAATTCTTTGTTTCAATGTTTGACATAATGTTTCTTAAGTAGCAAGTCGGTCAAAAGAATATGAAGCAATAAAGCTTTGTATGTGTAATGGTTTCTCGCCTTATGTTTATTTAAAGTTTTTTTGTATTTATATTATTAGTTTTTAACACATTTCCTTTTTTACTATTTCATTTTTTATTATGTATTTAAAAAATAATAATTAAGAGATGTAATTGCTTTTTAATTTGTTTAGTGCAAATTTACTTAAAGTTTCTTAAGAACACACGTATTTGACTATTTTAAAAAAGGGAAATAAGTCATGGAAGCGGTTTGAATGATTGCCTATCTTACACACTACAACTTTACGATACAGTGTGTGTTAGCTACTGTAGTACATCACAACTGTAGTAGATATGTTTGTTTTTTTTACAAGAAAATTATTCTTTAACTATAAAAAAAAAATTGATCATGGTCGGCTGTGGGCCCCTAAACGGCCTGGGCCACCCCGCATTGCGGGGTCTGGCGGCAATGTAGTTCCGCCCCTGCAAATAATTATTTTACGTGTTAAAGAAAAAATCCAGTTCAAGGGTGTCAGTTTAACAAATGACTTAAACTGCATCATTGTTAACAGGATGCTATTTGGCACTCTGGGTTATCCTATGAGCATGATGGCGCCTATGTTAGTTTTAAGTAGCCAGGGGCAGTCAGCGGCGCCTCTGATGTAGTGTAATTTGCTTCTACCGAGAACGCCCCTCTGCTTCCCTGACACATGGACGGTCATCGAAGTTGGTTTTACCTCATTATCTTGCTGAGTGATTAATTTACATTCAAGGTTTTCATGCGGTAGTGAAGGTAAACCCGTGTCCCGATAATTATGATAATTGTTTACATTTATATATCTCACTTTTAGAAAACAAGTTCACGCTCTAAGAACATAGGATTGGTAACGCATTGATGAAACCCTTCTTACATATTTCCGCAGACTTTCTATTATCCCCGCGGCAACGCATGGAGACTGGTACGCTAGAATATATATATATATATATATATATATATATATATATATATATATATATATATATATATATATATATATATATATATATATATATATACAGACACTTTCTTCTGACTGTACCAAACACAGCAGAAGTTGCCAACATGTCCTTCTCCCTTATTCTTACTATACAAAATGCTGAATCAAAGGAAAAGTGTCTTTTGAAACTCTGGCAGTCTGTTTGATCACTTCATTATGAAGCAGAGGTTAACTCATTATTATCTTCTGATTCAGTGTAGTGAAGTTGAAGGACAAGCTCCTTTCAGCCAATTGTAATTTCTCCAGGAGACACTTATTCTCTTTATCAGATGATACTCAGTTGACAGAATATCTAGAAAAATATATGAATACTTTAAGCATTTGCTCATGAATTAAAAGGGAACAATTTTTGTATCATATTGATAGACAATAGTTTTGTCTAAACAACCTGACGTTTGATGGAGGAAAGTACACGAGTGACATAAAGAAAGACTTGGTTTGACAAGTGAATGAGAAAAATATTCTACAACCAATGTTCCTGCACTCTATTATTCACCAGCAAGCTTTGTGTGCTAAATATATGGACATTTGCGGTGTACTGAATCATGTGATGAAAATGGTGAATTTAATAAGGTCAAATAAGGAACAAATAGTTCACAGACATTTTGAAAAATACAAACACAGAATCACAAGATGTGCCATATTACATAGCAGTAAGATGGCTAAGTTGTCAGAAAGTTCTGAGAAGAGTATTTTAGTTAAGAAAAGAAATAGGTTACTTCCTGGCAAATAAAGTCAAGCTACAGCCATTAATGTCTGATGAAGAGTGGATATAGAAATTGGCATCTGCTGCAGACATAACAAGTTATTTTAATGTTCTGTACCTAAAAGTTCAAGACAGGGAAATCTAATTTCTAATCAACACACCGACCTTAAGGTCTTCAAAAACAAACTTGTCATGTTTTTGGAACAATTACAGATCAACAACTTAACACACTTCAGCAGTGCAAGGTCTTAATGGCTGAAGCAACTGATGAGTTTCCCACGTCATTTGCATGCGAGATCATCAAAGACATCCAGCTGCAGTTTTCTTACTTGAATTCAAAGGCAGAAAAAGTGAAACTGTTTCAAAACCTATTTGAAGCAGATGTGGCCAGATGAACTGCAGCTGGAGGTCATCGAATTGCAAGCAAATGACCTCCTTAGAGACAAGTTCAAGGAAGGGCGGGTGGGTTTTTATGAGCTTTTGCCCAAGGAAGACTTTCCTAATATAAAACTTTTGCATCAAAGAAACTTTCAAATTTTTTAACAACATACCTGTGTGAACAAACATTTTCAAGATTGATATACGTGAAGAACAATTTGAGCACAAACTTGGATCCGGACAGTGTTTCTTTTAAACTTTTTCTCTGGGGGGGGATACTTAATATGTGTTTTAAGTATTTTTATATTACTACATTAATTATATTTCATTGAGAGGGGCGGGGGGGGGGGGGGGGGGGGGGTTAAACGTTCTTCGGGGGAGGGGCGGTAAACGTTCTTCGGAGAGGGGGGGGGGCTCAGCCACCCCGAAGAGATACCTGGAAGAAATTCTGGCCCCCAAACTGATAATTGATAGTAAATGCGGCCATCGGGTTAAAAAGTCTGGAGACTCCTGAACTAACACAAAGACAATTTGATTAAAATTGTATAATTAGAAGTTAAGCACACTTACCTACCAACTGAGATGCCAATACAAAATATTGGGTTTGAAAACTTGAATATTTAGGTAAATCAAAGACAAATTAAGAACATGTGTCAGACCTGTACTACACGAATGTGAACTACCGCCACAGGAAGAGATTGAAAATAGAGAAACTTATCAAAAACATCGATCCCGCCAACTACCCGTGACTCAGGGGAAACAATACTATTACTTATAAAAATGATTTTAAAAACTATTCTTAAAATAAAAATAATACGGGCGCTTAATTAAAGTGGTACTTATACGAACCGTTAGCAGATAAAGGGTTAAGTTAGGTATTAATATTATTGACCATTCTGTGTCTATTAATTACTAGCCGTCCCGGCCAGGCCCTGCACTGGCATCTCTGATAAACGTATCTGTAAAGGACCATAACTTGTATGTTTAGTAATCAGTATTTATCCGGCATTGCCCACCCTAACCACAACCAACCAAAACACACAAAAAACGCAAACATAACACTAACACAAAACAAACACAAACGAAAATACAAAAACAAACGCAAAGACAAACCCAACCACAAACACAAAGAAAACACAAACACTAACGCAAACAAAAATCAAACGAAAACAAATCCAAACGCAAACACAAACACAACCAAACCAAACCAAAACCAAAACACACAAAAAAAACAACGCAAACATAGCACTAACGCAAATACAAACACAAACGAAAACACAAAAACAAACGACAACACAAACACAATCACAAACACAAAGAAAACACAAACGCAAAGAAAAAAAAGCAAACAAAAACACAAACGCAAAGAAAAAAAGCAAACGAAAACAAACCCAAACCCAAATCCAAACGCAAACACAACCACAAACGCAAACCCAAACTCAAACACAAAGAAAACACAAACGCAAAAAAGAAATCAAAGTGTCCACAGTCTAGCCCAGGGCGCCAAATCGCACCATGACGACGTGCGGCGTAACCGCCTGATTCAACTTAGTAAACGACTATAGTACCCAACTTATTCATAGTCTTTTGAACTCACTTACGCGATCGTAGGTACCATAGCGTAAACGGAAAGGCCCGGGGCGCCAAATAGCACACTGTCGGGGCGCCGGAGGACGCCCGGCTTTGTTTCACTTAAAGACTATAGTAACCTTTCTTATCCTTAGTCTATCGAACTGTTTATGCAGCATAGCGCTCACATGATAGCCCATGGCGCCAAATCGAACCGTGCAGGGGCGCCGGCGGACGCGCCTGTTTCAATTTAGTGAACAAAATTATAATACTCCAAGCTTATTCGTAAATGGAAAGAAATAAACATATAGGATTTGTAGGACCTGGCTTATTAAATGTTATTGATTTTAAAAAATAATTAGTAAACAGTATGTTCAGTGTATAGAATAAATAAAAGACAGTATTAAAAATACCAACGACATTGCACTTGATCAATCCCCGCTAATTAAGTTATTTGTTTTTTTCTTCTTAACACCAAAACAAAGTAATAAAAAGTAAATTCTTCCTTCCCCCGATGTAATGGTTTTTTTTAAAGGGAAGTAACTGTGTTTTCCAAATCAAGGGACGTTATGTGAACTAAAGGACAAAATGCAAATACATTTCAGATAGAATTTTAGAAATTGTATAAACGTTGATACAATTTTTAAAACTTTTATGTAATATTCATAACTGAAAATTATTATTCTAAGTATATAAAATGAAAATTGTTTTTAAAGACTTTCGATAGTAATTTTTTAACTCATAAATTTAGACCATAAAACTATAATGATCTAACACTTAAATCCATGGAAGTATCTGCGACAAACGTTTAAAAATTCTTTTGTGACAAACATACAGAATTTTATATATTAGATTTAATTTTTTAGAAACAAATGTAGATATTAACAAAAACTAAACACTCCAATACAAATACATTCAGCTGCATAAAACAATGAAAAAAAATATATACATATATATATATATATATATATATATATATATATATATATATATATATATATATATATATATATATATATATATATATTATATTTATATTTATATTTATATATATATATATATATATAATTATATATATATATATATATAATATATATATATATAATATATATATATATATATATATATATATATAAATATAATATATATATATATATATATATTATATATATAATATTTATATTTACTATATATATAATATATATTAATATAAATATATATATATATATATATATAATATTTTCTCCGGGTGAGGGGGCACTTAATGTTTTCGGTGGAGGGGGCGGACTAAATTTTTCCGGGGGGTGGGGGGGGGGGGGTACGGGGGGGGGGGTACGGGGGGGGACACTGGTAAAAGTATGTTTTCTATATAAATTCCATTTCATTCAGGGTGGGGGATAGACTTTCTTCGGCGAGGGAGGGGGTGGCAGGGCCAGAAGAGATTCCTGGAAGAAATGCAAATGCTTGCTATTACAGTGTAAAACACTATTCAGTTTTACATGATACTCTTCCGGTATTTTTTTTTTGTATATTTTAATTATATCATATCTTGCTCACCAGGAGTTTGAATGTAAGTAACAAGCGGTTTTCTGTTTAATGTAGTGGTCTCCAAACTTTTCAGCCTGAGGGCCGCATTAACTATCAAATATCAGTTCTTGTGGGCCAGAGTTTTTTCCAGGCATCTCTTTGGTGTGGTGGCGCACCCCCCCCCCCCCATAAGAACGTATACCGCCCCTCACCATACGCAATATAATTTATATAGAAATATATACAAATTTCAAGTGTCGCCCCCCCCCCGAAGAAAAAAGTCTTAAAGAAACACTGTCGGGGGACAACAAGACACTCGAGGTCCAAGTTTGCTCTCAAATTGTTCTTCACGTATTTCATTCTTGAAAATGTTTGTTCACACAGGTATGTTATTTGAAAATTTTAAAGGTACTTTCATGCAAAAGTTTCACTATAATAGGAAAGTCTTCCACTCGTCCTTCTTTGAACGTGTCTCTAAGGAAGTCATTTGCTTGCAATTCAATGACCTCCAGCAGCAGTTCATCTTTGCAACTGGCCACATTTGCTTCAAATCGGTTTTGAAACAGTCTCTTTTTTTCTGCCTTTGTATCTAAGTCGAAAAACCGCTACTGAAACAGCAGCTTGATGTCTTTGATGATCTCGCATGCAAATGACGCGAGGAACTCAGTGGTTGCTGCAGTTGTAAAGACCTTGCACTGCAGAGAGTGCGTCAAGTTGTTTTAGATTCAGAAAATTTAAATGACTAGTTATGTCTGCAGCAGAGGCCAATTTTTAAGCCCACTCTTCATCATGCATTAATGGCTGTGGCTTGCCTTTACTTTTCAGGAAGTCACCTATTTCCTTTCCTAACTTAAATACTCTGCTCAGAACTTTCTTGCAAATCAGTCATCTTACTCCTGTGAAATATGGTAAATCTTGCGATTCTGTGTTTGTATATTTTAGCATGTCTCTGAACTATCTATGGTTAGATATCCTCTCCTGTAACAGTACGTGTGTTATGTTCATGTCTGCATCCACTCCTCGAAGAAACACAAGAAGTTGAGAGGTGGAACAGCTGTCCAGCGACTTGTCGATTGCAAAGGAAAAATGACGAAACCTGCATGCAATTTTCACTATTTGAGTCACAATGTTTTCACCAATGTCTGCAACACGGTGGGCAGTGGTATTTGCACCCAACGCGATATTATCAAATTGTTTTGAATTTTCTGGGCCAAGTCTCTCAGTCACCTCAAACAACATTTATTCAGTGGATAAAAAGATAGCCGCGGGCCGGATGAGAGGACCTCTTGGGCCGCATCCGGCACGCGGGCCGTAGTTTGCAGACCCTAGGTTTAATGGATTGACTCTGATGTTTATTGTATTTGTATACCAACCAAGATAATGAGGAATGTGAAGGTTAATTTTTAAAATCACATGTTATTGCTAATTTGAACGTAGCAATATGTAAAACTCTTTAATGTTCTTAAAACACATACATATCTGCCCTAACATTTACATACAGACATCGCAATACGTGGATGGAACCTAGCCTAGCCGATAACGGCTAGTTATATATTTAAAGAGAATACTTTATTTTCTCCTTTTTAGAGCTTTATTACATAAAAGCTTGTAATTAACATAACTGAAGCGGCACTCAAGTTATCTTGTTTACAGACACACACTACAGAGACGGATCGTATACAGCACCTACATTTTTTTGACGGAAAAAATAATATAACGTTTAAAGATTTACAGCATTTAAAATTGTAGCATTTGCGTTGACGATAGGAAAATGTAAATCAGATGAACGTGTTTTTTTTACATAATATAATAAAAATATTTTTTAGTAATCTTTGGTCAAGACAAGTGCGATACCACGATCTTCTGCGAGGAAAACAGTCTGTGTGTGTTAACTCACATATGGGAGAATATTCCAGAAGATGTGACAATCACTTGGCACAAAGACGATGATCCAGTGTGTAACTGCAGGATGGCAGGAAAATGTAAAACACTCATTCAGTACAGTGATAGGATTGTTGGACATAACCAAGTATATGGCACGCTCATTGAAAACAAATTATTTTTTTTACCAAATGCTTTGGAAGCTGATCAAGTGATTAAATGGAGTTTAACGGCATACATTTCAAATAGCAAAGTATTGTTATGCAGTTGGCAATCAAGATTCTACAGTAAGAGCTTTTTTTAAAAAAAAAACTATTTCATATTAATACTACTTACAAATGCTTAGATTATTATATATTAAGTGAACATATTAAACGTAAAAAATGTTCTTCACAAACGAATAAGTATTAAATGAAGCTCTCAGTAAGCATTATTTTCCATTATGCTTTGTTTAAAAAATACGTTTGCTCAGTAATAAACGTTTAGTCTTGATTTAAAAAAAAACATATACTAAATCTGTACTCAAAATATTTTGATATCTGGTACAATAATTACAGGAAAAATTATTTACACCCAAAGTTACATTGAAGAGACGCAGCCTACAAAGCTGACTTTAGTATTTGAATCGTATCCAAACTGTCTATGTCTGTTTACAGATGCGTTAGCAAAAGTAAGTTAATTCGAATTTTTTAATAAAAATATACAATAATATTATACAATAACATTTATACGTAATATAGTATTATATACATAATTTAATTTAAAAGTTACACGTAAGCGTCTTTACGTCCAATCTTTTTTTTTTTCAATTGCCAATTTTCCCTCTATCCCAACCACCTCTACAACGAGTTTTACCATTTTTTGTAGATACCATCAAACTTTAACGTTGATCACGCCTATGCTCCAGTACCTCACCACCCTTATCATGTGATCTCTTATTGTTCTTTGCCTTTGATAATAACTAAAGAAGAGCATGAATATAGTTTTCGTGTTACTGCATATCCTAATTTGACAAGTTTATCTGATGACTTGAACTATGGAATCCATGTGAATGTTCATTTGAAAATTGGTAAGCAGACATTTAATGTTGCCTTGCAGTCGCCATAATCAATTTGCTGCTGATTATTCTTATATATTAACCATGCAATCTTCTTGAGAATAAAATGTGTATACTTATCAGGAACTAACGTATGACACACGGCTGTATTTTTTTCAGTCACATGTATATTTTCACTATTTATAACTATAATTTTGGAGATCTTATTGTTATCTGATTCACAGCACGTATCGCCTAGTAATTGCTGAAACCTCAGTCTCATTCCATTTCAGATCGCCCAAAGGTTGCATTTAATTGTAAGACTAACGTTAATGAGGGTGAGAGAATAAACTGTGCCTGTACTAAGTCTGACGCTAGTAATTTGACAACAGAAGTTCGATGGTATAACAATAGCACCATTTTGGCCATCGGGAACGACGAAGCATTACTTGATTTGAAAGCGGAACTACCTTTAACAGGTAGCATACGTTAATACTAATATATGATTTAACCACTACGTTATATTGGTAATTCTTTTAATACATATTCTTTCCACAATCAATTGTTGCGTAGTATATATTACAGGCAGATACAATTAATTCTGTAAATTATGCGAATTTAACTTTTTCTTTACATCAGGTCTCTCTTAAATTATTATACTACTAATTTAACGTTAAATATTATCTTGGTTTAAAAAATTGTTTTTACATTAAAATGATTTTTACCTTTATTTTGTATAGACTTCATTTGTGTTGGTTCAAACTCTCTTGGATGGAAAAGCAAAAAAATGCATTATAAACTAACGATCCGAGGTAATTATATTACATTAGTATTCGTAACATCACTTTGTTACGATGATAACGCCAGTCATTCGATTGAATATTAGTATAACCAGATAACAGATCAAATCAGACATTGATGCAGTGCATTAAATTAGTAAAAAATAGTTTTTTAATGTCAATGCAAGTGCATTTTCTACTTATTACCATTTTCAGATAAAGTGGACCTTAAAACGTTTTCATGCCCAGACAAACGGCAGCAAATATGTGGTCGGCATGGCTTATGTTTCTACAACTACGAATTTTGCACAAAAGACAAAAAAGTTGAATCTTGTTTTCCAAACGTCACTGATTTGTTAGAATGGTGTAGAGAAAAAGGCCAGTATGACACTTCATTAATGAGAGACAAACAGTGTGGCCATGCCTGTATATCGAGATTTGGCCTGAATCAGCTTTTAAGTAGTAAGCAGATTATACATTTATAATACTTCTTTATTAAATCTATATGCCAATAATATTGATAAATTAATCATATATAATATAGTCCTTAGAGAGTTTCTTCGTGCATATCATAAATAAACCTAGAGTGACCTACCTTAAACTTTCTCGAATATTCTTATATAACACTAAGGGGGATGGTATGTCGGGATATAGACATGATTTTTAATTCATTTTTAATTACTGAAACTTTTTAAAAATATAATAGAATCTCTTAGAAAAAAAGAATTGCGCACCAAGTAAACACCAAACAAAATGTGTATTATAGTGCGGAATGATATTAGTACTTTAAAAATTTACATGCGTTTTTTTTGAGAAAACGGAAATAGCGTAAATTACTACTTTCGGTCAACGGAAATTACTCAAGATTTGACAGAAGTAAGCTAACTAGTTTTTTCCTTACATGTGAAATTTAACTAATCTATCTGAAAAAGTACTCAAGTTATATGTTTTTAAAAATTGAAACAAAATAATTTCCACTTCCGTTTTTCGAAAATCGCTGAAAAGTTGATACAGAAATACACATTTTATAAAATACTTATTTATAAAATTTCATCAACCTAGCCGTAATGGTACTCAAGTTATCGTGTTCACATATATATATATATATATATATATATATATATATATATATATATATATATATATATATATATATATATATATATATATATATATATATATATATATATATATATCGATGGTCTCGGTCGCAAACCGTCTAACTCAAAAAAATTCGATTTTTTTTTTCATAAATCAAAAGCCTATATGATTCCCCATAATGCCTGAAAATATTAGAGAAATCTGTAGGATGATTATTGAGATATAATCATTTGAACAAACCGCCTATTATTTCTAGCGCTAAAAATCTCGGCGCAAAACGAATATCGCTATATTTGTCAGTACACTTTTGATCGGGAACGCCGCAATCACACAATTTTACAGCACAGCATTAACAGTACTTATAGGTAAGGATATTTGATTAATTATGTTCAGTTATTCTATTACATTTTATCATTTTAAAGAATATTAAACAAATAGTATTTGTTTAATATAGCCTATTTCAATAACCAAACTGATTATCAATCAAAACAATATTATTCGAATTATATTTCCACAAGGATATGCAATAAATTTAATTATTGTTAATTCACTACTAGCTTTAGATTGAGGGTTTAGATACGTGTTAAGAAATGTTTATATGGTAGGTTACAAAATGTTTGGCGTACATGTTCAACGACATGGTTAGTTGTCTTTAGTAAATGCTTTTATGATTAATTTTAGAACAGACCAGCCTCTCTCAACAGACCAACCTCTCAACATATCAGCCTCTCTCAACACACCAGTCTCTCTCAACAAACCAGCCTCTCTCAACATACCAGCCTCTCAACATATCAGCCTCTCTCAACACACCAGCCTCTCTCAACATACCAGCCTCTCTCAACATACCAGCCTCTCTCAACAGACCAGTCTTACCACATAACAGACCAGCCTCTCTCAACATACCAGCCTCTCAACATATCAGCCTCTCTCAACACACCAGCCTCTCTCAACAGACAAGCCTCTCTTAACAGATCAGCCTCTCTCAACAGACCAGTCTTACCACATAACAGACCAGCCTCTCTCAAGAGACCAGCCTCTCTTAACAGATCAGCCTCTCTCAACAGACCAGCCTCTCTCAACAGACAAGCCTCTCTTAACAGATCAGCCTCTCTCAACAGATCAGCCTCTCTCAACAGACCAGCCTCTTTTGACATACCAGCCTCTTTCAACAGATCAGCCTCTCTAAACAGACCATCCTCTCTCAACAGATCAGCCTCTCTCAACATACCAGCCTCTCTCAACATACCAGCCTCACTTAAAAGACCAGCCTTACCACATAACATGCCAGCCTCTCTCAACATACCAGCCTCTCTCAACAGACCAGTCTCTCTCATCAGACCAGCCTCTCTCAACAGACCAGCCTCTCTCAACCTACCAATCTTACCACATAACAGACCAGCCTCTCTCAAGAGACCAGCCTCTCTCAACAGACCAGCCTCTCTCAACACACCAGTCTTACCACATAACAGACCAGCCTCTCTTAACAGATCAGCCTCTCTCAACAGACCAGCCTCTCTCAACAGACCAGCCTCTCTTAACAGATCAGCCTCTCTTAACAGACTAGCCTCTCAACATACCAGCCTTACTCGACAGACCAGCCTCTCTCCACAGATCAGCCTCTCTCAACAGACCAGCTTCTCTTAACAGATCAGTCTCTCTTAACAGACCAGCCTCTCTCAACATACCAGCCTTACTCGACAGACCAGCCTCTCTCAACAGACCAGCCTCTCTCAACAAACCAGCCTCTCTCAACAGACCAGTCTCTAGCAACAGACCAGCCTCTCTCAACAGATCAGCCTCTCTCAACAGATCAGCCTCTCTCAACAGAACAGCCTCTCTTTACATACCAGCCTCTCTCAACAGACCATCCTCTCTTGACATACCAGCATCTCTCAACAGATCAGCCTCTCTCAACATACCAGCCTCACTCGACATACCAGCCTCTCTTGATATACCAGCATCTCTCAACAGATCAGCCTCTCTCAATAAACCAGTCTTACCATACAAAACACCAGCTTCTGTCAACTGACAAATCGTATTGACACCAGCATCTCTCAACAGACCAGTCTTCATACCAGCCTTTCACAACAGACCAATCGTAACATACAAAAGACCAAACTCTCTTAAATGACCAATCTTACCATACAGGACACAGAATATATCAACAAACTTGGCACTCACAAGAGACCAGTCTCTCTCAGCAGACCAGTCGTAATATACAAAAGACCAATCTCTCTTAACTAACCAATCTTACCCTACAAGATACCAGCCTCTCTCAACAGACCATTCTTACCATACAAGAGACCAGCCTCTCTCTAAAGATTAGTCCCTTCCTTTCAATAGACAAGCCTCTCTCAACACACCAGTCTTACCATACAAGACACCAGCCTTTCTCAACAGATCAATCGTAACATACAATAGACCAGCCTCACATAACAGACATTAGACACCAACCTCTCTCAAAAAGAGCAGCCTTACCATACAAGAGACCAGCCGATCTCAAAAGACCAGTCAGACCTATCAAGAATTCAAAGCGACAGATATTCGTGCACTGCAGTACAAGCCTGATGCTACTGTCTACTTCAAAGTGAATTAGCAGATAGCTGGCAATTGCTAAGCTAGGGTCGTAAGATTATGATCTAATCTGTAGCCCCTGTCAAGTTGTACAAGAGCAGAAAAAAAGATAAAAGCTGTCATATTTGAGCACCTAAAAGCAAATCATAAACACACCTTTTTATGATGATTTCCCTGATTTTAAAAAATACGTTGCCATTTTGATGTTTCTTTATGTGACGTTTATTCAAAGAATAAATTTTAAAAATAAACACATTTTTTTGTTACATTTTTGTAAAATAAGTAAACAGTAAGTCAGTATTAATGTGATTAGTGTGTTATGTCTCATTCATAATATATCTGACAATACGGTTTCTGTTTTTACTATTATCATTCTACAAACCCAGCACCCACCAGATTAAATAAAATAAGCTGTGAGAATAGAAAGATGTAATAAATAAAGCATAACCGTCAACAGTTAATAAGTCTATACAGACATAATGAATACAGTCGATTGCGATAAAGCCATACTAAAACATCTATACTAAAAATTAAACTGACCCCAATAATGTAGAATAAACTCAAATAATTTAAATATGAGCCCAAAACTATAATCTAAATATTATGAAGTGTTAATTATAACTTAAAAACATAAACATAACTAAATCACGTTCACTGGACAAAACGAACGAACGCGGCTGAGACCGAAATTCTCGGATGAAAACAGCTAAGTCTGCACCGAGAATTTTAGACCGAGCAAACCGTCTATCTTTTTAAACCTGCTATAATGTTGTAAATGTTAACAAAACTCATTTTAAAACGCTACAGTATAGTCGGTAGAGAGTTTCTTCGGAGATATCATTAAAAAAATTTGTATTAGAGCGATCGAGAAGGAAATAATCAGTTTTTTGTCTCTCCTGTAAAATTTACATTTTCGGAGTTCGACGGTTTGCGACCGAGACCATCGATATATATATATATATATATATATATATATATATATATATATATATATATATATATATGTACACATTTCGATTTTTTATTTGCACGATTACAATTCTTCCTCTATACTTCTTATACGAGAAAGTAAAAAAGTATAATTAGAGCGATGTGGAATGAAAAAATAAGTTGTTTTTTTTTTCTGTAAAATTTACATTTTCGGAGTTAGACGGTATTTTGACCGAGGCCATCGAGATGCGTTTTTTTTTTTAACCTGAAAAAAAAACCCCACAATAAATAATATATTGATTAACAATAGAAAGGAAGTGAAACTTTTTTCTATTTATGTGCAGGTAGCCCGAAGGATAAATGCATTTTTTAAATTTAAGAAACAATATAAATATTACATGACATGCGATTTGCAAGCGATAAGCCAAAACAAAACCAGGTGATAACTTGTTTTTACAAGCTTGGAGGCTTTATAATGTTTAATTTCAGAAAATGTACAAAGAGAACCAGATGAAGTAAATGCGGCTGGAATCATCGATCAGGAATTGCCTAAAATACTATTGTATGCATGTAATGTTTTGCTTTTAAATCGCATTTTACAGTTAGAAATTATATTTGTATGTATATTATAATACTAGATAAATGGTTGATAGTGTCGTCTTTTCTCTAAACCGAAACCAAAATCAAAATCCCCAACTTAACTTTAAATCCGAAACAAAAAATGTCATTGAAAATGTATTTTCATCCAGAATTCGTTACTTTATATTCATAATAAATAAAGTCATAGTCGTACCCCTAAACTTTGCACATCAGTTCAAACTTGACAAAATTCGCATTTAGAGTTTCTTCCAGCCGACTCCACTGCCCCATAAAGACATAGAATTAGTATAGAAAATATACTTCCCCCCCTGAAAGTTTCAAGTTCTACTTCCCCCGCCCCTCCTACAGGGAGAACAATACCTGAAAGAAACGCTGCTAGCATTTGTAGATCATGCAGACTAAACGTAGACTCTACTTCTATAATCTAAACACGTTTCCTACTTATGGCCGCTAAACCTCAATCATTCATATTGCGTTTCTTTCAGACTTTGTTATCGGAATGGGGGCGGGAGGGGGGGGGGGGGGCTGACACTGGTAAAAGTATATATTTTCTATATAAAATGTATTTCGTTCGGGGGAAGGAAGGGGGGGGGGGGGGTAAACGTTCTTGGGTGAAACTTTTTGCTCCAGAATCAATGACGTCATTTTATTGTGTGTACTTTTCCGGCTTTAGAATACATTAGACTACACGTTATCATTAGATAACTGTGGGTTTCAGGGGTCATCCTTAAATGACATCAGGTCTGTCACTTGTCACAAAATAACCAGACGCCACATTCAAAAAGACGTTTTTGTCTTTTGAAACACCGATTTCGGCTGAGCATGGGCCTGACCACACTATCCCTTCAAATGCTGAAGTCACAGGTAGACACTACACCTACCCAACTCTACTTCAACTTCTCAGTGTCCCTCCAAGTCTCAGACAACATGTTTTTATCGTTTAAAAAAAACGACTCCGGCCGTGCGTGTCTCTGACCACACTATCCCTTCATATACTGAGGAAAAAGAAACAGTTGAACTCTACTTCACCTGCCCTGTATCCCGCCAAGTCACAATAGGCAACTTTGTCATTCTCATCTTAAAAAAAAAAATTTTTAAATTAACATTGACATGATGTGTCTCGAACAGGGACGATTTTACTGATATATTTTACTTTTATTTCGCGTAAGATACTTGATTTACGCGAATAGGCTCTAGTATTAGATCTATTTAAAATTAAATTTTATCCCAAATTAGTCTATTCCATAAAATTAGCTTTATAGTGCGTAAAACTTTTGATTGGGCAACAAAATATTCGATGGAAGCCGCCATTATTCTTTTAAAAAGTAAATAAATCATGTGACGTCACTATTCACTATAAGTAAAGTCATTGTTCTGAACTTTTATAATTAATGTGGTTAATCTACCAATGAATAAATCAATTAATTAATTAACGTCTTTAAATTAATTTGTGATTGACAGTTCGGTCGAAAATGACATTGTTCTCTATCTAAATAGTAATTTACAGCTGCACACATAGTGCAGATTCTCTCTTGTAAAAAAATAGACAAACAAACAAAAATGAATACATAAATTAATATTCAAACGTAAACAAACTTGAGTTTTAGTAGTATATAGATTTTAGTATATGTTCCATGTGACGTCACATTTTGTTTTCCGTTTGACTGTGAAAGTTTGAATTTTCCCAAGTATTTGACTTATATAAACCTACTAGATTTTAGGATGCTAAACCTCAACATAATAATTTATAAGTCCATACCCTATCAACCTATCTCACCGAAAAAAAAATAACCTGCTATTTTGAGATAGTTGATTCGCCATTTAATTACACATTTGTATTTTAAGATTTAAAAATAAAATTGTAATTAGATATTTTTTTATTAAAAAATTCACAACGTACACACGTAAATCATGTTATTACCAGCCTAATTTTTCATCGTTTTCATTTAAAGAATACAATATTGCTTTTAACGAATTTCTAATAGTTTCTTTTATTTTTTATTTTAAACAGTTCTCACACTGATTGTTTTGTAAGTATACAAATATTTTTTTTATAATTCATTTTACCAAAACAATAAAGAAATTGTTTTAATAATATTGTCTTTTATGGAATACTAGGCATGCTGCCCAGCTTCGCTTAGGCTTTCGAAAACATTGAGAATTTGAATGCTTAATTAATTCGCCCATATAAGGCGCCGGTCAGTCGAGGTCAGTTTTGACCCCCTCATCGTAGACTTTTCGGCCAACCGGCCCCCGTGTTCTGTCGACCCAAGGCAAAATCCTGCCAAATTTGAAGCGCCTGCGGCGCCGGGAAGTGCCCTATCGGGCACCCGACAACTTAGCTTTATATATTATAGAGATTAGCACATTGCATAGATGAACAAAGATTTCAATAAAGTAATTAAGGCCTGAAATACTTTAGTATAGAAATTTATTATTTGAATAGATTCTAGATCTAGGTAGGGTCTACATCTGTGTAAGTCTAGTTTTTCCGTAGATCTAGATCATCTAGATCTAGAATCTCTAGATCTAGATGATCTAGAATCTTTAGATCAAGATGATCTAGAATATCTTGATCTAGAATCTCTAGATCTAGAATCCAAATAGATGAAATAATTTTTTAAGTTTAGGCCGAGAAAATCGTATTGTATACATTTCATAGCGTACATAGCTCTAAATCATATTTGAATGAAATAGTTCATTTCTTTTTATTCTAAACTCGGAAGATGACGTCATCAGTTTCATGCTCTTTTTTTTAGTGTAAACAATAAGCGACGTCATTGTTAAATGCGTTCTTGTCCCAAGTTTAAACACTTTTCCGGTTGCATAATTAAAATTGTTTTTCTACATTCGAATACGCCTTTTTTTATTTTTCTTCTTTAAATAAAATTGTGGTTATACATTCAAAACATCTAACATATTATTTTCAACAAAAGTCCGTATAAAGTTAGTCATATATCGCTGCAGTTTCTGATGTGATGTCCGGCGAAAATATTTTGTGGACAGACAGACAGACAGAGAGAGAGAGAGAGAGAGAGAGAGAGAGAGAGAGAGAAGTGCGCACGGGGTCCATTATATATTAGGATTACATACTTTCATAGAGCGTCATGAAACTGTGGGAAATTATTGAAAATACTCACTCGAAAGTTTCTGCCATTTAAAAACACTCATATTATAGCGGTAGTGTCCCATTAGTAGGGTTCGGTTTGTTGCAAATATTTCCCCATTGGCTATCTTAGCGCTTGGTCTTCTCCATAAGCAATTTGGTGCCTACATATCTTTATGAGGAGCACCCAACACTAACCATGACTAAACCAAGCCAGGACTCGCTCACGGTTTCAGTTTAACTCCCGAGAGCACCCTTGGAAGCCCTGGTACTTGCCGATCAACAAGGGGTGTTTTACCTCACCAGTATAAAGGTGATTAAACTTAAGGCTTACACACATAATACCTTATGGCGCTTAGCGATAGTTTGAACAAACTCGCGTCTCAATAAATAAGGTAGACGAAATAAAACGCCGGTATTTGTTTAATTTAATTAATCTATAATATAAGCCTCTAGGTAGTGTGTTATTCCATCCTTCCGTCAGTCATCGGTGTATTCACTTTGTCTTTGTCAAAGATGAAGAATGTTGTTTTGTTTCATAGAAATAAATAATTATTTGTTTCCTATCAATCCTCTCTTCGAGCTGGGTGTAGGACAAAAGGCCGACATCCAAAAGGCCGACAAGACATAAGGCCGACATGGACAAAAGGCCGACAGCCAAAAGGCCGACAGGATATAAGGCCGACAGACCATAAGGCCGACCATCATAAAAAATACTAATAGCGCAAAATATGTGTTACTGCATAGCTCCTATCTTGACAACCATCGAAAAAGACTTGAAAAAAAGGTGAGACGTTCAAGAGAAGAGACAGTGCTATTTGCTATCCTTATAAGGTAAACCATCAGGTCAAGCGACTGGAAATTACGCTTGTGTCTTAAATACAACGGATCAACACCTAAATATTGCGAAATACTGTCACTGCTGTCTTTCATAGCTCCTTCTATGTAGTCGAGGTGAGATAATCATAAAAGAACCAAGTCAAAAGCCGCCGGCATCACCGCCTACAAGCAACAAGGTGGAAAGCCAAGAGACAATGCTAGTTGCGATCCTTATAAGGTGAACAATGGGGTCCATGCGCTTGGAGATGACGGGAGTGTACAAAGAATAAACAGATAGGTGGCGTTACCACTATATTTCGCAAATAAATCAAGGAAACCGAATGAAGTAGAACAATCGCGGTCCATGACATGACTACATGTTAAATACAGACAATATTTGAATTAGTTTCGTCAATTGCGAATTGCGTGAAAAAAAGTGTATATATATTCGTTGGATTCATTATTTCTGTTGTGATTGTGATACAAGTGTGCCGAAATTGGTACGTAAATTTTGGTTTTGTGTAAAATTACCGCTGTGATTTTCCTATATATGGACCAATATATCGTATATAATTACATATTTTAGATATTAAACATGCTTGTAATTGTAGTTTGTTATTTATAAAACTTTTCGGCCTTTTGGATGTCGGCCTTTTAGCAGTCGGCCTTTTGTCTTGTCGGCCTTTTGTCTTGTCGGCCTTTTGGATGTCGGCCTTTTGGCAGTCGGCCTTTCGCCTTGTCGGCCTTTTGTGTTATCGGCCTTTTGTCTGGATCCCTTCTAGCTAATGTACAATTTGGTCAAGCGGTTCATGCATCCATCGTCTTATTACGTCTATAAAGACTGTTTTAATGTTGCTGCGTGACGATGTCGGAAAAGTTTAATTCATTTTGCAGTAGTCAACAAATAATCATAAAAAACAGAGAAAAACAACCGTAATTATTTGTGTAATAAGAACCTCTTAAGAGGTCTGAAAATACATATAACTTGAATATCGTTTCTGTAAGTGGAGGAAATTGCATATTTAAGTATTATATCAAACTTAGAAAAGTGTTATATCAAATATTAGTAGTTTGCTCTCAACTTTGGAGCGATTTCCGGTAACCAGGAAATCCACTTCCAGTTTCTCAAAAGCCTATATCGTGAGTATATTTAAAGTTAAGTGAAGTAAATTTTAAAATGAATGTATTTGAACGGGTTACGGTAAAAGAAAGTTGTACTTCATTAATAATAACGTGGGAAACACTAAAACTTGAGTACTGTTTTATTTAGGTGACAAAATTTCTCAAGTTTTGAGTATCTTATATATCCAGAAATTGTAATTTAGTTTGTTTCCGTTTTCTTAAATGCCTTTTAACCAAGTACTAATTCACGTAGGTGGGCTAAATTTCATACATAGGTATAAAATAATAATCATTAAAAAAGTTTTTAAAAACCCACGTTTTCTGATTGAACTAAAAAGTAGAAAATAAACGCTATACATCACAATAATGCAAGCGATCACTCTACTATAAGCGATGAAAAACGTGGGGCGCCGAAGTAAAAGTTATATTACTATTGATTAGATAATACTATTGACTTTTATTAGGGAGCTTGTAGAGAGTCAACAGTATTAGAAACTGTAAGAAAATCACGGCGCCCCACGTTTTTGATCGCTTATAGTAGAGTGATCGCTTGCATTATTGTGATGTATAGCGTTTATTTTCTACTTTTTAGTTCAATCAGAAAACGTGGGTTTTTAAAAACTTTTTTAATGATTATTATTTTCTACTTTTTAGTCTTTGTTTGTTTGCATTAAAATCTTGCTATCGATTTTATCTTTTCACTTTTTTTTGGGTAAACGAAGACAACTCGTAAAAAGACAACTCGTAAAAAGACAACTCGTAAAAAACACGTTGTGTGAATACGTTACTGACTAGAACACATAGATTTGAACCCGTGTCGAGTGGGATAGCAATCATGTGCCCAACCACTCGACCATATCGTCTCCCCCAAACTGGCCTACCTCGTGTAAGTTTAAACTCGGTTCAAACTAAATTATCTTCCCCTAAGCCTGTGGCGACGTGGGATCGTTCGCTTCACTGCGCGCGAGGTACGCGTCGCTCGTTTTTTTTCTAATGGCTCGCAGAGGAGAATTATATATATAGATTATATAGCGGTCTAAAATGCTCAATAAAATGTTTCCATTGATCAATTTAGTAATAATAACAATTGAATATTCAATGGTCATCCAAAAGAAAGCTTCCCTGAAAATTTCAGCGCGCTAGCTAACTGGGAAGTGCCAGAAATTTCGATCGCAAGATTTGATTGGAAAGACAAACAAACACAGACACAGAGAAAGCAAGTTAAAGAAAACGTGGGAATATTCTTCCTTTGATGCCTTCAAATTTTTTTTTTATTTGATATTTGCATTATCTTCGATTTCTAAAAATTCTTTAGAATTCGATTATGTTATATCATATTTTCAAAAAATCATAAAAATAGCGGTTTTGTCACAAATATACATATATATATATATAAACACACACACACACACACACACACACATATATATATATATATATATATATATATATATATATATATATATATATATATATATATATATATATATATATATATATATATATATATATATATATATTGCCCGATTTCACTGGAATTGTCATCTCAACCTATATAGAGTTTTGGGAATGAAGATTAATGATTAAGTTAACTGAAGCGCTCAGTTTATAAAATAGGCCTGCTGTTGTTAAGAGATACATAATTTTTATTTTACGTTTGATCATTGCAGGCATTGATTCACTTAATGGTCTACCTTAACACTCCAAGAAACTGTTATTAATTGAATTCATATTTAACATAGTATGATGTAACGTTGTCTTGTTGCTCATGGTACATAAAAACAATATGTAGAAGATAAGACCACAATGAGTTTCCTTACATTTACCGACCTCCTGAATGTTTTGTGACGACTGGTGAACTTCTGTCTTACCGAAGACTTGACAGATACTGAATTGTGTGCGAGCGTACGTTTACGTGTACATATATGTAATTGTTTTTTTATTTAAATATATATCCACATTTTTTTCTTAAGTTTTATATATTTCTGCAGAGTATTATTTGCAATGTTAATATTTCTCATAAGGAGATGGAAACAAAAAAGTAAGTTATGAATCCAGTATTTAAAATATATTTTTGGATTTGATTAGTTTGCTTCTTTATTTTGTCTTCTGTAGTATTGTTTTCCTACATAATTCTAGTCAATTATATATATATATTTATATATACAATTTTTTCAAAATCTCCGGGTCGATACTCAATTAGCAGGATCATTTACCAAAGGGTCATATTGCGAGCTTTCAAAAGCAAAAAGCAGAATACTTCTTTTACTAGCAATAGAATGTGTAGCCTGAACTCAAATCTTATCGTAAAGATTGTTGGCAATTTAGCTATAGATGAAGCATGTATAAAATATAAGCTTGCAATTTCTAACACATCAAATATTAGTCAATTCATGAATGAATCGATTTGTATCACTTGGCACTCTCTTGTTTTACATTTCGATTAGCCTCCCAATACAAAGTTGTGAGAAATTCCTTTTCCTTTTGGTCTTGGCAATGGTTGAACTTTTGTTTGAAATCTCTTCTACTTCTAGTTTTAAGTCCATGTTGCTGGTGTCATCCACTATTTTTACTCCTCGCATTTCTTGTTTATTCTCTCCCAGAATGTTAGTACATGGTGATGTTTTAAATTTGTTCGCCCATTGTTTTCCTCTCTTTCTTCTATTAAAAAATAGAGGGCTTAGAATTTTTCTATTCACAGATGAAGGATTCCTGTTTTTTTTTTTTTTAAAGTAGCTAATGTTAAATTTACAGAGTAGTCTGCCTGAGGTGTTACTAAATTATTTCATATTGGTTTTGAATATCGCAACAAGATACTTTTTCTTCATCATACGGTAATTGTGATCGATTTGATTTTGGAATCAGTGTTTTCATCAGGTAATGCCCAGGTAGTCCTGTGGATGACCTTTTGTGTGAAGATTTTATCGTTTACGATTTCACGCCTTCTCCTCCCATAATAAGCTCCTTGCTTGTGTTTTCAACTCCCACTTTTGCATTCGGGTATCACATCAGGTTCTTTATTTCTCTGTTAGGTACCTATGAGGTCAAGAAGGACATGCAAGATATACAATTCTTCTTTTTCTTCTGCTGTTGCTGCTTTGTTGCAAAATAGCAATAAATAACAGTCGTTTTATGGTCCACATTTCTGGAGTCTAAAATTGTGCTCAACTAACCATTTCATTAGTTCATGAAATTGAATATAACTTTCAAAAAAATCGTAGCCTTGAATTTTTAAAAAAAAATAATCATTAAGAATATCTTTATTTTTTAACACTTAATTTTTTTAAAAATATGATAGAATCTTATAGAAAAAGTAATTGCGCACCAAATAAACAGCTAACGTTGTGTGTATTTTTGTGCGGAACATTAGTACTTTATAAGGAAAATATTGATTAATTTTCAAAGAGTTAATACATTGTCTTCAAATATTGACCTACTTGAAAGTTTATTCCTTTTGTGTCTACATATCTGTGCAAGAACAGATTTTCAACACTTCTTCAATTAAAATCAAAACAAAGAAATGAATTAAATGTTGAGAATGACATGAGGTTGGCGTTAATAAAAATTCAACCGCGAATTTTGAGGCTATAACTATAACATGTAATTACACACATAGTATTAAAAGGTGTATCAAGAATAATGCATATTAAAAGTCTACTAGAAAATATCATTTTAGTGCGTATTAATTTCCTTACTAATTTTGACTTTTTAATTCTATGGGGGTCGCGGGTCACTTACTTTTTATACATGAGGGTCTTCACTCGAAAAAGGTTGGGAACCACTGATTTAATAGCTAAATTAACACCACCACCAAAAACAAACAATTCAGATGATATCAGATTGGTTTAAACATAATAGGAGTAGGCCAATAACAAACGACATAGCATGAGCAACTGATGCTGTCGGTGACGTCACTTTTATTTTTTCCTCAAGGGGTCGTCCATAAATGACGTCACACTCGAAGAGGGGAGGGGGTCCATAATTTTGTGATGGTGTGTGATGAGGGGGAGAGGGGGGGGGTTCAGATGGTGCGACGTCACACTTTTTCATTATAAAAAAGCGATGTTGGAAAACGTATTTAAGACATTATTTCGCGTTTTAGAAAACTGTTTTAATAAAGTGTAATAGGAATTGATTAAAATAGTATATTTTGACAGAGTTCAGACAATATTTTGGAAAAATATCGACTTTAAAAAAAATTCAACTGCAATTTTGAGGGGGGTTGTAGGCTGAGGTGTGACATCATTTTAGGGGGGGGGGGGTCCTGGCTTTTTGTGACGATGTGTGACGGAGGGGATGGGGGGAGATAAAAATCGTCAAAAAAAAACGTGACGTCATTTATGGGTGACCCCCAAACAGCAAGTAAGTGAAAAAATAGAGGTATTGTGAGTTCTGATAAGTTTAGGAATAAGCGACAAATAGGGGAAAGTTAATCTAGTTCTCACGGTCAATGTCAACAGTAATTTCAAACTTAGATCAAAGTTATTTTTTTTCTGACTTAAATCTAGTTCCATATATGTTTTCGATAAGTCAGGCTACCTCGGTATTCTAAGTCGACACAAAAGATGGGGAAGTTGACAAATCATTAGTAAGCCCCTATGTCTAGCGACCGAAAAAAATCGGTAGTTTTAAAAGTATATACGAAACGTCTTTGAAGTCTTCATATTAAAGCAAAATTTTAATATATTTCTTTTTAAAATTAATAGGTGATCTACGGAATCATGAAGAAACATCAACGTAACTTCAGCCTCATGTAATCTCAAGGGATAGATTAAATATAAGAGATTTGTTTGCAATGTTATTAAAATATATGTAGTTATAAAATTTTGTTTTTTACTAATAAGGTCTGCTGTTATTATTTGCTAACTAAAAATGTTTGTATATGATTGCAAGTGTTTTCGAATTTGCCTCACAGCTAAAAAAAACGGTGTAAATAAAATTGTACCTTAAAATAAAAAGTATTCATTTTCTTTGTATTTGCGTGATGGCATTGTCAGATGTCACAGTGTACGACAGCTAACTCAAAAAGCCCGAGACAGATCGTCAGCTCAAATTTGTAGAATTTCCCTGAGTCCATTCAGCTCTTATTGATGTCTGAACCAAGTTAGAGATAGTAAAAACGACTGGGGAAAAGCGTTAAGAACAATATCCTCTGAAAACAGATGAACTTTACCTCACCAGACCCAAGGACCGAGTGGTTTTATGAGGTCATCATCTTCTGCACAGGATACAACACACGGGGCTGCCGAAAAAAGCTCTTTTGTCTTTTCCAGTCTCTAGCAATTTTCTTGATAATCCGGCTCTTGCCAGTTGTTTTCTGAAAAGCATCTATACGTCTCTTTTGACGTTTCTTTTTTATTTTCCTTTCCATTTGAATAGTTCATTTCGAAAGGGTATTTTACTTTAACTATATTTGAGATATTTCATGAAATAATATGTTAATATAATAAATTAATAAAACTTATATATAAAAATTCTGTAACTCAATGGATGAAATTGAAAACAAAATGCATGATTTATGTCCATATTAAAAATAACCCTACCCAGTCATTACTAGTTAAAAAATATATCATATATATATGTTGAGTACATTTTCCCTTTAATATTCTGGTTATAATGTAAATAAAAAGAATACAACGTTAAATAAAGATGATGTTTGTATTGTCATTAAATATTACGATGACTAACTAACGATGAGTTTGCTGACATTTAAAGAATGAGGTAAATAGTCGTTTCTGTGATAAAAACTTGGTCGATATCTATGTTAGGTTGCCGGATCTTTAAAAATTAAATTAAATCCTACAGTAACGCCACTTGCAGCAAATAAATCATTTATCAATGAGAGATTAAACTTTAGTAAAATTTACCTGCTTCCTAAGATGGGTTAGAATTTTGTCGCTAACAGTCACACAGTATTAACCCAGTGTTAACCTCTTAATATTAAAGAAATTAATTTATTTTTTAATGTTTTTTACCCTGAATGATTGGAGGTACACATTGACATGAACATGCCAGAAAAATCCAAAATGAATAAAATTATTAAAGGGTTTGGCGAGCATTTTGATGCCAAAACCAGTGAAACATTTGAGACGTTCATTTTTAATTAAAGGAACCAGAAATCAGAGAAGAAGATAGAAGAATATGTGATGGTTTTGCGAAAGTTGATTAAAACGTACAACTTTTGTAAACAGAATAGCTGTTAAGAGAGGACAGTTTTAGGCAGCAGAGACAATACGTCTTAAAGATTACAAATAGCACTGTCACTGTTAACATGTGTATCGTGTGTAAAAGTTTAAGATTGCTGAAGCAACCGAAAAAACAGATCAAAATCTTAAACGATCTATGAAAAGTAAAAATAAAATAACGTATTACAAGTATAAGTGCACACATATTGTGATATATGTTTCTTAAAAGTTTTTTAAGTAAACATTTGAGTTAAATAACCAAGTATTGTGTGCCAGACAGAATAGTTGACATGGAAGACAAATTTAAATTAATTTGTAGGTAGAGCTTTGTAGTCCACAACATGTTTTCTTAAAATTGACATCAATGTAATGGCCTTCTGTTACAATCTCACTGAAAAATCTTTTTTCATATTCTACTGATAAAAAATTGTTTCCCAGCAAACACCCCACAAGAATGGGGTCAGCTCAATTTTTTATAAAAATATTGGAATCGATCTGGTTTCCTTACATTGAAAGACGATTCGTTAATTAGTCTGAAAAGCATTCTTTATTTTATTAGAGCTCGACATATTACCAATATTAAATTGCCACAATTTTACAATTTTGACCAACTCTAAAAAAAAAAAGTTTGCTTTTCTGGTTTTAATGAACTTTCTATGACATGTCCCAACTTCACTGAAGTCGGCAAGATGTTTGCGTGTTTGGGTGGAAGAAGACAGCTCGACACAAATTTGTAGGGGGGGGGGGGAATTGAATAATTTGTAGCCCCTAAAGAAAAAGAAAAAAATGGGACGGCTAACCTGAGAGTCTCGAGTTCGAATCCGGGTTCAAATCAGTGGAACGTCCCTGAGTCCACCCTGCTCTGATAGGTACCTAACTCACGTTACGGAAAGTAAAGGCGGCTGGGCATGGTGCTGACCACACTATCCCTTCATATGCCGAGATAAATGAATCAGAATACATTAATATTTTTTTAAAAACTTCAAGCTGGAAACTGTTCATTTTTATTTTCAAGCAATCTTTATTTTGAATTAGAACAAAAAAATCATATTTTGAATGTTTAATTATTAAAAAGAAGACGCAAAAAAATGTATAAAACGCTACTAATTTCCTGCACATGGGGCCACATAGTACTACTGATGAAGCAAAAAAATACCAACGATAAATGTTTAGCAACGGTGTGTGATTTGTATACAGCTATCATTTATTGTATCACGCTGATGGCCTCAAAACTTTTAGTTCTACACAGATTTCAAGTTAAATATGACATGCAGTCGTGTGTCAAATTACACATATAGGGGTCCAGTATATAGACAGAGGAGCCATTATTTAAAAAAATAGTAATGATAATATGTAATAAAAGCCACGAAGAGATAATGTCTTGAAATGTGAGGCCCTACCAATAGATATTAGTTAAGTCTACCGCTAATTCAATGCTGGGTGTCTGTTGTTTTTTTTTATATAAAACTGAAAGAGTTGACCTATCTTTGCCGACAATTATTTACGTTTTGGAATAATTATGTGGCGAGTTGCTTATTCCGGCAAACGGCGAACTGATAATAAAACTCTTAAACAAATCAGATATTTTCTTTATTACGACCAGAGGCGTAGCGATGGGGGGGGGGGCGGGGGGGGGGGACATATGTCCCTGGGCGCCGACCTTAGGGGGCGTCAAAATGGGTTGGAAAAAAAATTGAAAGCTTGAGGGGGGGGGGGGGGGGGTTGCAAATCAAAAGTTTGAAGGGGGGGAGGGCAAATCGAAAGTTTGTCCCCGGGCGCCTGGAAGGGTCGCTACGCCTCTGATTACGACCAGTAACCCCTTGTATGTAGGAATAAAAAGTGTTATGAAATATATTGAGCTCTTGTAGTTGTCTGTCAACCATTGAAGATATAGGAAAATGTGTGTACAAAATTCATTAAAATGTTTTAGAACGTTATATATAATTAGAAAAAATAAGATAATTAGAAATAAGGGGAAGTAAACTAGTAAAAACTAGTCTAAACACAAAAAGCATGATTGTAACTGTTGGTAATATAATGTCTACCAAAATGGATAAATCGTGGATAAATCGTGGATAAATCGCAGGCTTGTCTTAGTTATTGCAATCGTCCATTGAGTTAATGTCAATCGGAAGTATAAACACACTGCAGTGGAGTTTTTACCAACTGTTTCGTGCAAGTTTCGTGACAATAGAATGACATGTCATACGGTATATTGGTAGTAGAACTATCACTGGGTTCTGTAGAGGAATTCAAGGTGAAACTCTCAGAGCATAGCTGCTGGATATATCCCCCAGCTGTAGCTAAACAATTTACAATATACCCAACACAATCTATTTTCCTAATTGTCTGCTTAAATGGGACCTACTTGATCTATTATAGTTCGAGAATATAAAGTTATATTACATCAAAGGAAAAAAATTAAATTAAAAGGCGCCAAAACAGTAGCCGTTTTAAAGTGCAATTTAAAAATAAAATATTACCGGGTAAAGTTAGTAGAATATAAATTTCTATACAATGGTGAGAAAGCCACACGTTCAAATAAAGAATCAGTTAGTTAACTTCGTGGGTATGGGCTACTAAATTTAAATATGCGAAAAAACTAAAAGTATGCACTTATACAAATCTTAACAAGTTACTAGAGGCTTAGTCTGGTGACTGGAGAGAGAAAATTAAATGATAATTTTATTAATCGTGACATCTTTTCATCTCACAAAAATTCGTTTAGGTTTATAGCGATATAAATATATTAAGTACGAAATAGAAGAAGTTGGCTAAGGTGGCAACAATCGGACAATGGAGTTTACTGTTTCTGAGAAAATCAAGTTTAAAATACATACACAAGAAACAGTTAACCTAGTGATTATGTCAATTTCTTTTAACCAACAGTTTTACAACAAATTTGAGGTTTGCCAAATCATATAAAGTTTTTTGATAAATATTTTCTATAAAGATTCAATATTTAACAATCAAAAGTTATATCTACAATGGCTTACATTTACGGCAAAGATGAATATTTAAAGCGTTAGAAAACTTAGAACTCATTTTGACATAAATAATAAAATTAACCGATGCAATCATTTGGTGAAGTACGTAACAGACGAACGTAACGTCCTCGCCTGGATCTAGCGTGATGTTAAACACCGTGTGTAGGACGGTGACAATCGAGACAAGCACGATAAACACAACACACACCATCACCAACATCTTGATCACCCTCATGTTCTTGATCGTTTTGGACATCCGCTTGTTGTTGTTTAGGTTTTTCATTTTCCTTGACGTCATCACCAACTTGATGATGGTGAGTGACGTACACAGGAATACTGTGGTCAGTGGAACAGTGGACACAAAGGTCAGCCTGTACACGATGAAGACAATACGAGTCCGCACGATGCCTGTCAATCCTGACATCGTCATATCGTTGTTAGTGAATATTTTGTTCTGGTAGTAATATGTGATGTTGTTCTCTGAAGAGCCGACAGCGGCCACGTAGAGAAATAACAAAATGATGACACATTTGATACGATGTGGAGTGCTGAATTTGGAGACAGAGAAGGGTAAAGAAACTGCTAACAGTCTCTCAATAGAAATCAAAGCCACAATGTGGTAGCTGAAAGATAAGCTCAGATCATAAATCAAATGTAAAATATAACGGGATGACTTGCTTTTTAATATCGTCTCCATGTTGAGAGTCTCTGAGTATTTCATATTGTAGTATTCAACAATGTTGCATATTGAAAAAGTTAAGTCTGACACAGAAAGAGAACATAGAAGGATGTTGGTTGTCGTGTTGAGGCCGTGCCGGCACACAATGAAAACTGTCACACAATTTCCAAACACGCCAAAGCTACAGAAGACGTAGAATGCGATGACAACAGGGTAACAGTTAACAAATGGTGTTCCAATCTGTAGATCTTCGCTGGGCTCCTCTGAAAAGTTGACTGTTGGTTTGAACCCAAGTACATTTAAGGTATCCTGGGTTTGTTTTATTTCAGTCAATACATCCATCTTTTAGCGACTCGAAGAACTTAGTCTCAATAGTAACGCGGATTTTAATTCGACGTTTTATGAGTTGATTGGTCTCTGAGTATTGATTGGTTTCTGATTACTGGTACAGTGTAAAAATTTAAAGTTTCAATGCCAAGTATTTTGTTCTGAATTATGTCTTATAAGCTATAACAATACATGTAAATAAAACGACAATTTTAAAACTACAAATAAAATCTTGAGGTGTAATAAAAAGAGTAATCTTTTTTCTAGCCATATATATATATATATATATATATATATATATATATATATATATATATATATATATATATATATATATATATGTATATATGTATTTATATATATATATATATATATGTATATATATATATATATATATATATATATATATACATATATATATATATATATATATATATATATATATATAAATACATATATATATATATATATATATATATATATATATATATATATATATATATATATATATATATATATATATATATATGTATATATATATATATATATATGTATATATATATATATATATATATATATATGTATATATATATATATATATATATATATATATATATATATATATATATATATAAATACACTAGCTGTTACTTTCTTACCCAAACGTTTCAGTAATCTGCGACCTTTTTTTATTCAAACTCTTCTTTAGATAGAATTATTTTGTATTGTGGTTTTATAACGGCTAGGCGAACCCAAAAAGACAGAGAACAAAGAATCTGTTCAACAATAAATAGTTTTCGAGTGGACGGTAAATTGAAGTAACGAGAATGACAATTATCGAATAAACCTTCATAAACGTTTTAACAATTTTCTTATGTTTCCATTAACAAAAATGGAACAAGAATTTTATGATGGTGTTATAACAGTAAATGTAGAAAATAGAAATAACATTTAATTCAGCAGTTCAAGCTTTATCTCGTCTCTTAAGTGCCATCGAGAATAAAGAAAATTTCAACAGAAAATTATTGTTATAGTTTTATTGTTTCCTAAAATCTGTTTCATTGTATTGCTTTAATTCTCTTAAGTGTCTTTGAAATGACAAATAAAGGGGTTTTTTAAATAACGATAAGTCGTTTTCTTGACATTAGAATTTGTGATTGTTAATATAGTAGAAAAAGATGTGTGAATTTTACGAGGTTTTTATTTTTATCGTTAAATGTGATGACCCTTCTTTGTCGGATTTATTATTTTTATGGGTAGAACTGATAATGCATTACGCTGGATTTATTTTGAACGATGACTCATTGTAAAATATCCATTAACCAGATGATAAAATTTTATTGTGAGATTGTTTTGAGAAAGTTCGCTTTGAAGTATTACATTCAAACTTCGTAATACCCACATAAAAAAATATTAACGGAAAATGTTGCGGGAAAAAAATACATAATCGTTGTTTGTAAGTATTTATATTTTTAATTAAATAGAAACAACACATTTATTTAAAATTTAAAAACACAAATGTGAGAGAGATTTTAAAAATAAAAAAGCCAAGACGTTCAAACAACTCTCTAACATTTAACATAGTAGTATGTTTAAAAAAATAGAAGAAAAAAATACTCTTCATTTTAAAGTTAATGTTTATTTAAAAATTATACATATTTGATAAATATTCTTATTATATATTCATATTTTATTACATATAATCATATATAATTATTAATTTGTGTTAAGTATAAAGATAGTTTTCAATTTCTGCTGGAATTGAATACTACATATTTTAGGAGAAAAAAACGTGTGTTCGTTTTTGTATAAAAGTATATTCTTGTGGTGAAAAACTATTTTAGGAGTAAAAACGATTGTTCATTTTTGTTTAAAAGGTTATTCTTGTAGTGAAAAACAATTTTGTACACTATCATTTTGCTTCAGAAATATCTCATTTCATTCAGTAATGGAGAAGCTGGCAAATTTTTTGGCCCGTAACAGACCTTTCAATATGACAGGGGCCCAAAAGTTCCCAGAATCTCTTGTACTTTTCTCTATGTACGAGACAGGGTTTCATTACCTAAACATCGTCCTGATCTACCTGCTCAGCATCTTTGGCATCCTGGGAAACAGCTTGACGATAGCAGATGTAGCGCGTCAGGGACTCTCTGACTCCACTAACGTTGTCATAGCGTCACTGGCTGTGACTCACTTACTGTTTTCTGTCACAGGAATACAGTATAACTTTCTTGTGATCTGTGCTCACCATTTCTACTCGTTAACTGCCAGCATAAGAATTGAATACTTGAACATTATGATTGTACTAAACAGATTTGCAATCCTGGCAAGTTTTCACCAAGTGGCGCTGATAGCAGTGGAGAGATGTATCAATGTCTGTTTGCCATTGAGTTTTTCCAAATATATCACTGTAACCCTGACCAAGATAATGGTGATCTGTGTTTTAATATATTCAGCATTCGCATCTTTGTTTGAAAACAGTTATATATCAATTTATTTAAGTAAATTTATTTTTCATTTTGATCAAACGGATGAGTTTCAGAGTTTTACTTCGATTTCAAGTTATTTTAACTTAAACCGTTTTATAATCACAACTTCAGTTCCTTTTGCTATTGTCGTTGTCTGTGCCGGATTAATTGTATTTAAGCTTTGTATTTTAATACGGAAATCTTCTAAAAATAAAACATCGTTTGTATCTAAGAAAATGAAAGATCTGAAAGTGGTTCGAATGTTTGCCACCGTCTGCGTGGTTTTTGTCGTAATTCTGGTCCCCTCCAAACTTCTGCAAGAAATGTACGCTAGTTCGAACACTCCAAGCCAAGTAGATTTCATGCTTTGTATCATAACGTCCATACTTTATCAGTTGAGTGCCTCAGTTAATTTCGTCGTCTACCTCACAATGAAAACAAGATTTACCATCCGTTTTCATTTTTAATAGATTTTCCTAATATTAAATTTCAATACATTATTTATTTCTCCAATAACATTACTAGTTTAAACAAAACTTACAAAAAAGTTTTAAAAAATTCATTTGAAGTCAAATGAAAAATTGTGATGTTAATATTGCTGGTTTTATTTTGTTTTTATTAGCCACACATTTTTAAATTGTGTTGCTGCTGTGATCATACGTGACTAGCATTACTAAATGTGTTACGTGTAAAGAAAAATTAAGTCTCTAAATATTTACACATTTTAGACTCCCTCCACGTCGTATTTGACTTTCTCCAGAGACGTATTTTAGTATTTTTGACGTGTCATTACTTATTCATACATCACATATGCAAACATGAACATATTTTTTCTAATTTAACTATTGGTTAAATTAATCATAGAAGCCGACGTCGGGGTAATATATATAATTCACCCAACACTTTTAATTCTAAATAAAGTTTATTTTTGTGTTGAAATAATATTTTACCCTTGAATAAGTATGCATTTAAAGGACTAACCTTGGTTTTTTTTTAAGAATATTTTTCAAGAATATATTTCTGAGATATCTCTAAAGATAAATTAGATATGTTTCAAAATTATATGCCTATGAAATTGTTATAGCATTATTTTCCAAGATCATTTTCTACGATATATTTATATGATATATTTCTGTGATCTATTTCTTGGATATATTTCTATAATATTCTTCTAATATTTTCTCCTACGTTTATCTGCCTATATCCGATTTCTGCGGCGCGTTGTAAATATTGTATTAAAACTGTGTTGTCTACTGTTTTAAAAAACGATTCTATTAGATGGTAAGCAATGGGCTAATGTTATTCACTCGCTCTGCTCTGACATTTGGTGAATGGTTATCATCTCATGACTTCATCACTGCCGGTTTTGTCTAGAGAAAGTTTTATTAAAGGCCAATGTTAATGGTACGTCTGACTTCCGTGTCATGTAAGCCGGTTGTTGATGTTGTTACTTGTGTTTCTTAAAAAAGGATCTTAGTATTCCTCTATTCTTTATGTTAATTGTGATATTTTTTAAAGAATAAGGACTAACTGTATTCTCTTTTGTGTTTTGTTTTATGTTAGTATTGATTTCAAAATTTCAAAAATTATATATATATATATATATATATATATATATATATATATATATATATATATATATATATATATATAATATATATATATATATATATATATATATATATATATATATATATATATATATAGATATAGATATAGATATAGATATAGATATAGATATAGATATAGATATAGATATAGATATAGATATAGATATAGATATAGATATAGATATAGATATAGATATAGATATAGATATAGATATAGATATAGATATAGATATAGATATAGATATAGATATAGATATAGATATAGATATAGATATAGATATAGATATAGATATAGATATAGATATAGATATAGATATAGATATAGATATAGATATAGATATAGATATAGATATAGATATAGATATAGATATAGATATAGATATAGATATAGATATAGATATAGATATAGATATAGATATAGATATAGATATAGATATAGATATAGATATAGATATAGATATAGATATAGATATAGATATAGATATAGATATAGATATAGATATAGATATAGATATAGATATAGATATAGATATAGATATAGATATAGATATAGATATAGATATAGATATAGATATAGATATAGATATAGATATAGATATAGATATAGATATAGATATAGATATAGATATAGATATAGATATAGATATAGATATAGATATAGATATAGATATAGATATAGATATAGATATAGATATAGATATAGATATAGATATAGATATAGATATAGATATAGATATAGATATAGATATAGATATAGATATAGATATAGATATAGATATAGATATAGATATAGATATAGATATAGATATAGATATAGATATAGATATAGATATAGATATAGATATAGATATAGATATAGATATAGATATAGATATAGATATAGATATAGATATAGATATAGATATAGATATAGATATAGATATAGATATAGATATAG